CCTGGATAAACACAGAGGGGTTGGTCTAATCTTGTTTTCAAGATAGAAAGTGAAACTCGGTTTCCATTATATCAAAGAATCATAGAATAATAAAAACTGCTCTTAAGGATGATGTGAATTTGAATTGGAGCTGAACGTTTTCATTATCTTTTCATGTATTATTGAGAAGTATCATGCGATTATGTTCGTCTTTAATACGCATTCAGGAGCTATGATATGCCAGTGTAACAATACAAGAGATATAGAGTGTCGGTTTAGAGCTCTTTTGTTTTGGTGTAAGGTTTACAGATATGAATGCTTCCAGATCCCTACACTGACCGGTTGGAGCGGTACAGCTAGAGAGAAATAGGAATCAGGTAAAAATGACAGAATCAACAAGAAGACCAGGACGTACCATTACACCACAACCAAGAATCAGCCCTAAAGCAGCCAGAGACCCGAGTGAAGCAGCGATAGCAGTGACATTTGGACCACCAGAACTACCTGCTGATGATGCAGTAGCAGTGTTGGCTGCAGCTGGTGATGCAACGACAGGACTTGCGACGACGGCAGTAGGAGAAGCAAGAGGCACATCAGTGGTCGGTACAACGACGTTATTAGTAGGAAGTGGAGCAACGTCTGGTTCAAATCAGTGAAGTAAGAATGTTGATTCGTTAACACGTCCTAAATTTCAACCTTCTCAAGTTACCTGGAGTATTTGCAGCAGGAGACGCAGCAGCAGGAGATGCAGCTACAGGAGAAGCAGCAGCCGGAGAAGCAGCAGCAGTTGGACCAACCGATGGTGAAACTGAGGGTGCGGCAGAGGCCGGAGCCGGTGACGGACAAACCATAGTAGGAGGAGTGATAGTGGACTAGTGGATTTATGTGAGCGCCTTCGGAAGCACAACTATTGTGAAAGGGGTTCTACAACTCACATTGTCACAAGATTTAGCGTAAAAGTTGGATACTAAATATGAGCCAAGAGACATGACAGGAACGCCAGAGCGGTTGTACAGCGTAATTGGTCCATTATTGAGCGTATCAGAGCCGGAAGCTGGTACGACTGCAATAGAGAAATCAGGTAATGGGGAGTTGCTGATCTTTGCTGGATCAACTTCGTATACTATAAGTTCGAGGGCGGAGATTCCTTAGTCAAGCTTGACTTTGATCTTAAAGACAAACACGTAAATTACTTACTGACGCCAAGTTGCAAGTACCATTTTGACGGATCTGTTATTGCATGCTGGCAGTTTGCTTCAGCAAAGCTAGCGCTTGGCGATAAGCTACTTTCGAAATATACTGGCATCTTGTTCATTCCGGTTGTAGGAGCAACGAGTGGAGGATTGAAAACCGGAGAAACAGAAATGTTCCCTGGCGAGCTGTATTCCCATACAAAGGTCTGTAACTGGTTATCAAAGGTATTTATCGTGTCGCCGTTGTAAACAACTACATTGGAGAGCAAAACAAATACCACGGTTAGCTTCGAGCCCTTTTGAAATACGAAATGGGTCTATCAGAAAGACATACTTTCAACTACTAGTCCCATGGAATTAGTTCCTGGAATGAAACCTCCGCTTGTTGGTGCCCAAGGATTGGAAAATGAAATGCTATAGTTGTGAAAAAATCTTGAGTTAAGGACTGACAACGGAATACTTCAAGTACTTCGAATGACATACACATTGAGCTCTAAACCGGTCAGTACGGCTTGCATATTGGAGACTAAGTGCAAATACGATGGTTAGGATTCGATAGAGAGAAAAGGCAAGTAATGCGACAAGTTCAGCACCCCAAGCAACACCACACGAATAATCGTGCAATGATGGTCTTTGAAGTGTGCTCCAACTTGTAATAGCTGATTCGACAAGATGCAAAAACCCGCCCGAGTAAAACACACACACATCAAGTAACCCCACAGAGAAAAAGCCTCACAACCAATATCGATTGCCATGCATCCGGACTTACTGTTAAAGGTAGACTGTGTGTACATGGGTGAGAAGTAAACTGGGTACGTCAGATTGAATCGGCTGCCATTCGAAGCCAACAGCACTTGCTGAGTTGTAAAATCGAATTGTGAAGAGTTCGTAAAGCCAGATGGAGGAGTAAAGAAACTGAATGTCGAAGTTGGCCCACTACATATGGGATTCTCTAGTGCTAACAATTCACCACTGTTGACATTGGTGAAATTGTATGGCGGCGGAGCACCGGCCTGAGCACTGGCAACGATGTTCACCGCAATTGCAAATAAAGATGTCCACTTCATGTTGCTCGTAGTTGAACTCTGTTTGGGGAGGTTTGGAGGTTTGGCGAAAAACAAAGTCTAAAAAACATCGATGGCTTCGATTTAGTGCCACCCAAAACGCTCCGAAGGTCTCCGAAGGGCCAGATCGTGACTTTGATGACGAAATCAGGCATTCTTGTATCGTGTGTTGTCTCTCCGAGTATACATCTTGCTCCCCTTTGGGATTTGCTCCTTAATCGATTCAGAACTTGCAATGATGTGTCCAAGGCACACAATTATCTAAAATAAGGAGCGATGCATCCTTGTAGGGCGTTAGGCTACGTGGCATAAATACAATTCAAGCTCTCCAAGAGAAAATCGGGGTTCTACTTGAGCGATTGAGCAACTTTGCGTTCGTCTCTCACATTTCAAACCACAACTTTGCATGTGCTAGAAGTCGTTCTTTGGTAGGCCAAACAAGTCCTAGTTGATACAGCCGAACCATATCAGTAAATTAAACTCATTCTTACCTCTCTATATCTCGCAATTACATAGTCTCCAACTTGCGTTCTCAATCAAAACAACCATGGACATGACATTACTCGACCAACCTAGATTTCCTCTTAAACGGAGAGGCGAAGATTTGCATCAATATCAGCAACAGGTTCTCGTCGACCACCAGCAATGGCATCAACCATCAGCGAAACGTATCAAGACATCAGCAACATTTGAAGGATTGACGGATTTTTGGGCAATGTCTGAAACAAACAATAGTAATAACCAGTACCAGCAATACCAAACCCAAAACATGTACTCTATGGACCTAGTAGAACAGCAACATCATCAGTCCCAACAGCAGCACCCGTCTATTGATATGCAAGTATCACAACAACAATCGGTTGGCATGCAACAACCACAAGTAGTAGAAAGTGAGCCTATAGTAAACTATCAGCAGCAGATACAGAATGCACCAGTCTATTCACCACAGAGAAGTACATCTGGTTACCATTTGGCTGGATACCCAAGTACATCTACCAGTCCCGTTAACACTCCTCCTCATTATTCTTCTTCTTCATCCTCTGTAGCTGGAGATTCTAATGGGTGAGTTTATTTGGCTTGCTTTCGTTTAATTATGGCATCAAAGTCTCATCTTCTTCTTCCAACAATTTGACAGAATGGACATTGACGCGAACGAACGACATCTATCATTCAACAGTAGCAACAGCAGCACAATTCAATACCAATACTCACCAGCTCTACTGTACACGTCTTCAATCACTGGATATGATCTAAACCCTATATCATGGCGAGAAATGATGAACAGATAGACACGTGTTGCGTAAGTTGTTACCAATGTTTTTATTGCTTTTGTCATTATTTAGCCTTCATCAAATCAGCCATTGCACCACTTAGACACTGTTTTAGTTCTTTATAGCTTACAATGAGAATTGTCTGTTGATCTCGACTCATTAGCATGACTTTTTCATCAATACCAACATCCAGCTTATATATCAGAAAAGAAAAGTTAGTCAGTGGACAAGAGTAGTTAGAGTTTAGAGTAAACAAAAGCAAAGGAGTTAAGAGGGGACACAGACTTGCGACAGAAACGATGAAAATGTAATTGTGTAATAAGGAATGAATAAGTTTGGGACACTCGTTTGATGTGCCTCGGCTTGTAAAATAATAAAAGAACAAAATCCAAGAAATCGCTCCATCATTCGAATCTACCTTATTCAGACAAGTGATAACATGTCCAATATCAAGAAGTGGTCGTCCATTATCGTCAACTTGGTGAAACACATAGTCCCGAAATAGCTTGAGTAGGTATCGATCTCCAGTCTCAGACCACCTGGGATCCAGATCAAACCTAAATTGATGCAAGAAAATCAGTTGGAATCCAGGAAGAATTCTAGGGAAGGAAAATGCAACCAACTCACTCTGGTCGTTCGTTAATGAAGGATAACTTGGACATCAGTCGAACTAGTCTTCCATTCTCCAACTCGCGTCCCAGTTCTCCTTCTAGCATGTCATTATAGCTGTGTCATAAAGAAAAGAAACTTTGTCAGAGGTACCAAACATAGTAAAAAAGAAGATATGGTCATTTGCTTTACTGATGAGCAGAATTAATCTCATGCAAAATCCTAGGCCCAATCATCAACACCACATCATCAATTGATTTAGCCATAGTGGGTTTACTGAGTAAATATGAAACAATGTTCTTCATGTCGGGTGTATAGTGTCGAGCTATATGGTCCATAGATTTCGGCAGATGGTTTACAGATGCTAGTGATCCACATGCTAGTGCTACAATCAATTGGCCAAAGTGGAAGAGATCGTCTTGCTACGACGTGACATGTGAGTCAGTAATAATCCAATTTTTTTGCCCTGTCAGTCAAATCACCGACATCGCAGTTCAAATTTTACCTGATAATGAACCATATTCTTGCCACCATCATACGTAAGCATATCGAATATTCCACAACAGTTAAGCCGTATCCTTGAGACGAGCAAGATGGATTCGATTAGCGAAATTACGTCCTCGGTTAAATTCCCAGTGGTAAGGTAGCCTCACCTATTCTTGCCAGTCAAAATAACTTTACTTGGCTCAATCACACGTGCAGCAAGTCCAGCAGCATGAATGGTCTTTAAAGCAGAAGCAATTTGTACTATATAGCTCCATAACGTCTTTTCAGGAACTGAGTTTGATGGGTGATAGGAGTTTTGTTGGAAGTGTTTTGCTGCCAAGGTGATCGATAGTGGATGATAGTCGTATACTATCACCAGTGCTGGTAAATCAAATATATGACAAAACATAAGTCAGCGTGACATTATGCAGTGAGCATGATTTTCCCTTTCTTTGCTGCACTTACAAAAGTCACCAAATGCACGTGTCGTAAATGCTTCTCGAACCATTACAATATTTGCATGTCGAATTCTTCTCCAAGAATCGATTGCTGTCATAGCAAGTTCATTCAGTAATCGAAATCCTAAAAAAAGGAGCAGGAAAAGGCATCAGGTTCTGAATCCAACCTATTCCGTCAAACAGCACAAATAATTTACCTTCAATCCGGCGCAACACGTATGGATTCCCATCACTCCGGTTCGTAGCACGATAGACCCACGTGGGATATCCAAACACTTTGACAGACCGCTCTAGATGGTCATCCAGTGGTAGAAAGTTGGAGTATACGTGTAGCTCTGAAGGCATTCTTGACAGGTCGACTCCTAGGAAATGGGAGAGTGTTGAGAAACCTGTGCAAACACAAACAATTCGCAGAAATAGCATTACACTCTTACTGGCAGGATCAGTAACTTGTTGAGAAGCTTCACTACGTTGATGCAACTCTTCCCTCAGATGATCCGACATGAAAAAGGAGTGTATGGTCTTTTGATGTGGATGCAGGTTGGATATATGAGGTAATGGCGTTGTATATAGATGGTATTGCAACTAGAGAGTCGGCAAAAGAAAATCCGGTCAATAGTTGGCGTCGAAACGCAAATTCGAAGGGTCTGGTCTCGAAACTTACAGGTTCTCGGACTTGAGGCTGTTCATAGTAGTATCCTCCTTCTTGTTGATTACCATAATATTGATTGGCCTGGGTGTCGTTCTGCGACGAGACAACAAAAAGTAAGACCAATGCACCACATATCTAACACAGTTGACTCATGGCTCGTACTGGATCAGGTTGTCCTCCAGATGGCGCTCCTAGATTCATTTGAGCCATTTCATTACTTGGATATCCATTTGCTTGCTGGTCCGGCACGAATGTTTGAGGGTCGTAGTATTCGTAACTAGTTTAGATAATTGCAGTGAGTGACGTGTCCGACTTGTTGAAAAGTTTAGGTAGAAGCATTCACACACCCTTGCTGCTGTTGTTGATAAGAGGGATCTGACGTAGGTGGTAGTGCTTGTCCTGATCCTACAATGGAAAGAGATTAACCTATGTCCGCTATATGTTGCGCGAATTCCAAACTTATTTTCCAACCATACCAGCAACATTCAAATCACTAGCCGGATACGCAGGCGTGTTATCCGCCATAGAAGGTTGAGTAGTAGCATACGGGTTGTAGGAGAGCAATGGATCAAATTCAGGAACATCGACACTTTGGCTCAACGTTAAAGGGACTGACGGTCTTGGAGGAGTGAATGATGCTGTTATTTTAGGTCTTGGCCTGTAGGATATGTTGAGATCAAGAAGGAAATGTCAATGTCAAAGTATGGGTTCAGCGAATGAAGTTTGGAACTACATGTCGTTTGTTTTAGGAGCTGGGGTATTAGATGCTGAAGCTTTAGCTGCCTAGAAATATGTTCGGAAATCAGAATTAAAAAGCTGATTTATAGAGAGCAAGTGCTACAACACAAGCTCTACTAGTTCCAGTATTTATTTACCTGAGTTTCGTGATTGAACTCACATCCTTTGCCTTCCTTCTTGCAGAATCCATAAATGGTGATATTCCTACATTGGATCTTGGATTTTGCTGCTGCCGATGCCATCTGATCCTTCCTGCCTTTGGTCAATTTCTCGCCGCTGGACAGGGATTTGGTAATGATGATCGAAAAACACGTTGACAGCTACTAACCTCCAAAGAACACGTATCGAGTGGAATCGCGTCATCTAACGTACTGCATCATGTATTACAATAATAAGAGGTTTTTCAATCATAATTCTCTTTCACACATTATATAGTTCTTCTTCTCCACTCTCGTCATCAAAAGTCTTCAGTAAATGGCTCTCAGACACTAAAGCCACTCTATCATCAACATGACCGTTGGCACCGCCATTCCGCGAAACCATCGAGGCCCTTAACGATGGTTTTGATAGATCGTGCGAGGTGTTTTCTCGCTTGGAATTCAGCATAAACACTAATGTTGAGGAACAGAGTAAGCAAAACTGACGAGCTTTCATTATCTTCCACCATGCAAGCGCCTTAACTCTAACATTTTGCTTTACCTCCAATAAATATAGTAAAGAATCCACAAAACACGGACAAGACCTTGACAGAGTCCGTTTCATTAAATCCCTGGAACAGAGATACAGACGCCAAGATTGTAGCAGTAGTAAAGAACACATAATATACTATTGCGACAAAACCTGAGTCAGCTTACGTTCAGCGAGACAGCGAGAAATATGAAACACAGCGAGTCCCGACTCCATCAACAACAAGAATCTGTTATACGCTCTCCCCATACTCACTTGGCATGACTCTATTGGTCGAAAACAAATCCAGCGCCTTGTTAAAGTAATTCATCTGCGTCACAGCACAGACGACAACAGCCATTCCAAACAAATACGTAGACGGCCGTGATAACTGATTGTTGCCGGCGAATGTGAGTTTCAGAGCAATTCCAAAGCCTTTGCAAGCCATGACGGATATCGAGCCCACCAGTGAGCATATAGCAATGTACACGAGCATGTTTGATTTGCCATGTATTGGTGCGACTTTGTAGATAAGGTATAGGGCCACACCAATGACTAGCAGCATGTACATCATGAATGCTGGATGGTAGAAAAGGGGTTAGAGTTCGCATTGGGTGAAGACTTCATAATATCAGTGTCGCGAGTTGTGCCAAAAGGGCATCTGATGCGACTCTAGATAAGCGAAAAACCGTAATGGCTGAATTAGAAGATCAAGAATCCTGATTTCATGGACTCTCTCTTTCTCCCAGAACGCTAATCCCTTTCTCACACCCACGTGCAGAACCCGTTTGTAGTCTCCCTGGAGCTTACCCGGCTGCACGGCCAAATCCAGTATTTCGTCTACGGATTCGATATCTTTTTCACCAGGAGCATGTAATATAATAACGATAGCTCCAATCATACACAGAGCACAGCCAATCTTTCCTTCGCTGCCCAGACGTTCCTTCAGCAGTATGGAAGCCAGTACGGCACTAACTAGAACACTTCCGGCACCTAGCGGAGTCACTAGAATAGCAGGAGCATATGAATAAGCAGCGAAATTGGCGGCTTCACCGGCAATCACTAGAGTAGATATGGGTGAGAAAATGTGTGGTGCGAATGTATCATAGTAACTAGGTCCCAAAAGAGAGGGTGACTGATATATCCAATAGGTAGCTTCTCTTTCAAGACTCACTTATTCCCATTCCAATCCACCACTTTACATTCTGCAGATAACTGTAGTGTTCACCAGTCTGGATTCCATGTTGTTTCTGGCCGTCCATGAGGCCCATTTTCATTAAGACAAAGCTCACGCCTATAAAGACACTTGACGCTAGTGCCAGGGCGAGCCCTATATACTTTTCATCTACCGTCATTCTATGACTTTTTCAAGGCCAACTATGGTGGTTGCTGTGAAGGTATCGTGAGGGCAATCAGACTTGTGAAGGAGGAAGGAGGAGGAATACTATGAGGGATTTATAGCCAAGATCGCCGTTTATCAGAAAAAATACACGGTTTCGTTCGGTTGTGAAGCTTGGCAATGAGTGCAATTGCAATAGGGTCGGAAACCACCGCAGTATATAATACGAGAGTGGTCGGACTTTAGAGAACGTGTCGAATCACGTAAAGATCAAAGATCAATGAATTCCAAGCTCCTTTCTATCCTGTTTGACGGTTCATCTTGTCGAATTCATGTTGACAAAATTTAGAGGCTCATGAAAATTGGCGGTTCTGCTTTGTAAATTGGTAAACAGGAATGGTCATGGTTGCAGACGTAAGTATATGATCTAGCTAGCCCTGTTCTCTTTTACTGTCTGGATTATCTCTGTAGTCCTGATTTATTGACTCACACGTTCATTATCTCAAGGGGGACGACCTTCATGATACGCTAGAAGATGTCAGCGAAGAATTTATGCATGAACGTAATGCCGTTATATGGAGTTTCCTAGTCATTGTTGTAAGTGCAATATCACCTAATTGTGGTTGGAGACAACATTTGCTCCAAATCCCAACATCTGTTGGTTTGACCTAAGGACACTGGAACTGATTGCATTGAAACTTCATCTGTCATCTTTTAGGTCTCAGAGATAGGTAAGACTCTGATCTAGTCTGCACATACTGCGTACTGCAGTCAATGCTCACTCTCACTTAACAGGGGACAAGACCTTCTTTATAGCTGCCATCATGGCTATGAAGAACCCTAGGCTTCTCATATTCTCCGCTGCCATGTGTGCTTTAGGCATTATGACTTTCCTATCTGCTCTCCTAGGCCACACCCTCCCTGCCCTCTTCTCCAAAAAGTACACTCAGATGGTCGCCGCACTACTATTCATAGTCTTTGGCCTGAAAATGATTAAGGAAGCTTACGCAATGACGGGCAAAGAAGGTCTAGAAGAGCTCGAAGAAGTCACTAAACAAATAGAAGATAAAGAAGCTGAAATGAAGGCCTCTCATATGGAAAAGGGTGGTAAAGATGGAAATGGAATACCTAATGGAAGTACACAGGACCCGTCATCAGCACAACCGATACCAGCTATGGAAAAGCTACGGACATTGGGAATAGGCATCTCAAATCTCATGAATTTCGTCTTGACTCCTGTGTTTGTGGAAACCTTTGTCCTCACCTTTCTCGCTGAATGGGGTGATCGAAGTCAGATAGCAAGTATGTTTCAAGTTGTAATGTATTACATCGAGTTGTGCAGCTGATGACAATGCGTTTCTAGCCATTGCATTAGCTGGTGCTGAAAACTTGTGGTGGGTCACTTTGGGTTCCATTGCTGGTCATTCCATATGTTCAGCTATGGCTGTCATTGGTGGTAGAATGGTAAGACTTTCATGGGACGGTTGTCGTCAAAACACATGCAGTTTCATTCAATTCCATTTTTGTAGCTGGCAACCAAAATCAGTGTCAAGACAGTCACACTGCTGGGAGGTGTACTATTTTTAATATTCGGTTTCGTATCATCTTGGGAGAGCTTTGGTATTGAACTTTAGCACTTTTACATTACATTTAATAGAAAGCATTCATGAGCAAAGAATTGCGGGGTTTAAGTGCATCATAGCGCGACTTTTATGTATCTGACTCGTTCAATCCTGTCTGTCGAATTGCTGTCGAAAACGCACAAACGCACACTTTTGCAGCAAAACAGCAGTCCCACTCACAATAGACGAGTGACGATATTAGGTTGAAAAACCATTAGACCATTATTTATCGCTATTTTCTAGCTTTACTAGTCTCGTTTGGAGCTCCATTCTCTTCAAATCCTATAAATCCAAAAACCCTATAAGAAAACAAGAAAAACAATCATGGTATCCGTATCTCTTCAACCTCCATCACTGACGGAACTGCTCAATGGCTCACTATCAGCAGGTATGCTGATGTGCTACTATCTTGCTATTCCTCGCTTCAATCAATTTTCTAACATTTAATGCTCTTGAAAAATTGGATCAGACACCTCTGTTCGAGAACAAGCTACAAAGCAATTGGAAACATTGGCTAGAGAGAATTTTGTATGTTGGATTATTTTGGCCTTAGCTTTCTTTGTCAATCCACTGCAATTGATTGAAGCGGCCTGTTATTGCCTTCTTGGGCGAATCCAACTAATGCTCATGCTTTCTAGCCAATGTACATGGGATTACTCGCTACAGAATTAGCAAGTGAACAGAATATGTGGACTACCAGAACTTCTGCTGGTCTTGCTCTCAAGAACGCATTGACAGCAAAGGTTTGTGCTGCGCTCCTTTCTGCAATTCTCGAGCTTGCATTCTTGAGAAGAACTCGCTTAGTTTTGTTGACTGAGACATGTCTATTCTTTGCTACAGGATGAAGCCAAATTACAAGAACTGACTGAACGATGGGTTGGTATTGAACCTGAAATCAAGGCTACCATTCGATCTGCTGTAAGTTTGCATTGGTCAAAAATGCCACTGATGACTCTATCAGTGACGTATACATTATCATATCATTAGACGGTCAGTACGTTAGGATCACAAGAAATACGTGCTGCTCATACAGCTGCTCAAGCCGTCGCTGCCATTGCTGCTGTTGATTTACCACGTCGAGAATGGCCTGAACTCATTCCAAGTCTATTGAACAATGTGACTATGACCGATAACAAGATATTAAAGCAAGCCACGTTGCAAGCTATTGGATTTATTTGTGATGAGATTGTAAGTTTTTCATGATGTGTCAATGACCAAAGAGTATGGTATTGAGGGTGTTGTATTGTAATAGGAACCTATGGTCCTTGCTACGGAAGCCAATCCTATATTGACTGCTGTGGTACAAGGAGCTCGAAAAGAAGAAACATCGTAAGAATCGGTGGATTTGATCGAATCACAATCATACATGATTTCGTCTCGATAATTTTTCCATTATCCATGCAGACAAGACGTACGATTGGCAGCAATTCAAGCATTGAGCAATTCGCTAGAATTCGTGAGAGAGAATTTTGAACGTGAAGGAGAAAGGAATATTATCATGCAAGTTGTCTGTGAAGCTACACAAAGTCCTGACGCAAACGTTCAAGTCGCTGCATTTGAATGCTTGGTTCGAATCATGTCTCTGTATTATGACAAAATGGGCGCTTATATGCAACGTGCTCTCTTTGGGGTATGTGTTGTGATGAAGATATGACGTTGAGTTCAATATTGGTTGGGTACGATTAACCGTTTTTTTGTCACTTAGTTGACTCTCTTGGCAATGAAGAGCGATAATCAGAGTATCGTATTACAAGCAGTAGAGTTCTGGTCTACAGTGTGTGAAGAGGAATTGGAACTTGCCGCTGAAGCTCAAGAAGTAGGAAATGAGTTTTTCCAGCCAGAACAGAAGATACCGACGTAATGACTAATCATCGTCGATGATCATAGGCAACTGAAGCTGGTGAACAACCAACGAGGCAGAGTCAACAATTCGCCAATGGCGCCGTCACAGAACTTGCTCCAATCCTTCTATGGTTGTTGACCAAGAAGGTATTGTATGAATGTGTCGACATGTCATATTTTTGAAACGTCGATGTTGAAATCATAATGGAAATGTAGGAGGAAGACGATGATGAAGATGAATGGAACGAATCAATGGCTGCGGCGTAAGTCTAATCTTTGCTGTCGTCCAGAGCAGCAAGAAAAAGTAAAGACCCGCTGCACCTCCATTATGATACTTTTTGCTTCGTTGCATAGAACATGTCTCACATTGTTGGCAAACTGTGTTGAAGACACCATTGTTCAACCAGTCATCTCATTTGTACAGCAACACATTCGAACAACAGACTGGAAATATCGAGAAGCCGCCGTTATGGCATTTGGTATGAAAAGGCGAAGTCATACAACATGTCACATATCTGACGATCAACACCTAATTTCATGTGCAGGTTCCATCCTAGAAGGTCCAACACCAAGACTCATCATCCCACTCGTGACACAAGCTCTACCATACCTGATAGAAATGATGAAGGACGAAGTAGTTGCAGTCAAGGATACCACCGCATGGACACTGGGTCGAATTTGTGAATTGCTAGTGGATGCCATACGACCAGACACACACCTATTCGACTTGGTGAATGCCATCACAATTGGTCTGACCGATTCTCCACGAGTAGCCAAGAACTGTTGTTGGTGCATCATCAACTTGGCTGAACAATTGGGACAAGAAGATGTGCCAGATACTTATGTCCTGTCGAATTTCTTTGTTGGTATTATTACGACCTTGATGGATGTTGCTGACAAGTACGAAAGTTGCTCTTTCTTTACTTTCGTCTTGTTTGTTTTTTTGATTATAATTGTTTTTCGAAAGGTCTACCGAAATGGAATTACGTGCTTCTGCATATGAAGCCATTTCTACCATGGTCTCGCATTGTGCCAAAGATTGCTTCTCGGCTGTTAGCAAGTTGACTACAGCTGTGTTGGACAGGTTGGACCATACTGTGCAAATGCAGGTCAGTTGAAATTGCGTTTCGTTGGCCCCTCATATCTTGTGTCTTCTTTGACTCATTTTCAATGTTTTGGAACTAACGAACACATCTTTCAACTGGTATAATAGTCGCAATTAGTGGGTCCAGATGATAGAATGGCACATCACGAACTTCAATCAAATCTCTGCAGTGTACTCACGGTATGTTCAACGAGTTTACAATCAACAAGAAGATGTCCTGTGGTTTAATGTTCTAACTGGACCTTTCACCTCCACATTTTAGAGCATTATTCGAAGGCTATCAAACGACATCAAACCAGTATCAGATCGCATCATGTCATTATTGTTGACTATTATGAGCAGTTCATCCAAGAGTTCAACAGTACTTGAAGATGCCTTCTTGACTGTTGGAGCCATGACAACGGCAGTTGAAGGAGACTTTGTGCGATACATGGATGCCTTCAAGACATATTTGTGGGCTGCATTACAAAATCACGAAGAATACCAAATGTGTTCTATTGCTGTTGGACTGGTTGGGGATATATGTCGAGCCTTGTCGGATAAAGTATATCCATATTGTGATACTACGATGAATTTGTTGTTGGCTGATTTGCAGGTATGGCGTGGTGTTGGTTGGAGGAATGTGGTGTAGTTCATTCTTTTGTAAGGTTTTGGGTACTCATTTTTTTGTTGTTCTTCAATAGTCAAGGACACTGCATCGTGATGTCAAGCCAGCCATATTTTCATGCTTTGGTGATATTGCATTGGCAATTGGGCCTCAGTTCGAAACATATTTGCACATTGTTATGATGGTGTTGCAACAAGCATCACAAACACGAATTGAAGGGGTACGTTGAAAGGCATGTCCTGGCACCTGTTGATGGTGTTTTTGTTTTGTGACTGACGACAACCCTCTTTTATAGAACTCATACGATATGATCGATTATGCCAATCAATTACGAGAGGGTATTGTTGAAGCCTATGTTGGTATAACACAAGGACTCAAAGCTACAAGAAGTAATACGCATGGCTCTCGAAAGGGAAGTTTTTGCTGTACATTGCTAACTCGTTCTCCTTCGTCTTTTAGTTGATTTGTTGAGTCCATCAGTGCAACATATATTTGGTTTCTTGCAAATGTGTGCAGCAGATCCAGAACGGACCGAATCCTTGACACGCAGTGTTATTGGATTACTGGGGTATGTAGCTAAGAGCATTGTGTATCTGTGCGCTACTCGCTTTCTGCCCTAGCGCAACATAACGAAACCCGGTGTCCCTTCGTTACTATGGTTCAAAACTCTTCATTTATCAGCTAAATAGATACACTCACTCTTCGCTCTCCTTTATCTAGTGATTTGGCTTCTGCTTTCCCACCAGGTTTACTGAAACCACTATTGAGTGCAGACTGGATTGATCAATTACTCAAATCAGTCAAAGCTGATCGAGGAGCATCTCAAGCTACCAAGGAAGTAGCTAAATGGGCTAGGGAAGTAATCAAACGACAAATGATGGCTGTTTGATTTGGAGTGGTATAGAAATCCCAGCAAAAGCAAACAAAATGGAAGAAAGGAAATTCCCCAGTAACCATCACAACCCCCCTAACAACCAACAAACCTTGTAGTATTGTTTAGAGAGAGAAGAGAGGAGGGAGAAGAAGTCTAGTCTTTTGTTCTCTCCTTACACGAAAACCCCATCCCACCAAAAAAAGTAATTAAACTCTATAAAAAAGCAACCCAAAAACATCCCCCAATTTGCCTTTGTATGAACCCCACGAAAGTTATATACACATTGTCACTTCCACCCAGTATAGCGGTGTGTGTGTTGTGAGGTTTGAGTTTGTTTCTTTTAAAGATTTGTAAGTAGCATTCGCAATACAAAATAAACTCCCCTTTTGCATACACATTTGGACCGCTTTCGGACGGGCGTTTTGTTGGTGAGATAGCGATGCACGACAAGAAACCTTGTCGAACCGAAGACTGCGTTTCCCTGGCTTGCATCGCTCGCAAACACACAACAATGCTTCATAATGCACATCATATCTGACATGCTTCAGATGCGAAATATATATCAAGAGGAAGACAGAGGGAGACACTTACAACGAATGGTTCTTTTACAAGGGCACGTCTTTACGTTTCGTGCCTGCTGCTACAGACGATAATCCTGACCCTGATGCTAATAACGCTGCATTGACTGGTGGTATTGGAGCACTACTATGCTGATGCTGTGATGATAAAGAAGACGAGGGTGATGTTCGAGTTAACTGGTTGACAGCTTCAGAAGTAAGAACTCGTAATTGTAGCATCACATCATCGTCTTTACGGTTGGATGTTAGCATTCCGAGTCCTGAGCCGAGGGATACGATTGCGACTGTTTGGTCTTGGTCCAGTACGACTAATGGGGAGATGGTGGTGGATTTTTTGGGGGTTGAGTTTCCTTGTGAAGGACGAAACAAAAGAGGGCCGGTACCTGACAAGTACGGTATGAGTTCCTAAAACAAGGAATAAATGTGTATTAGCGACATTCAGTATGCCAAAAAAACCTGTCGAAAAGTCCAAAACACACACCTTGGAAACATCTCCTCGTGCCACATCCTCAGCTGCACTAGTCCTTGCCTCTATATCGTCCTGGTCTATAGTGGCAGGTATTACATCATGAATAGCGGCCACAGCGAGCAAATCAGCCTGTGATTTGGGAAGGACTGCAATACAGTGTATGGCTGTTGGCAGTGCCTTTGTGTAGGGCGATAGTGTGACGACAGACGACCAGTTTCCAAATAGGATGATGCTTCGTGAACCGTATTTAGCGAGGAGGGTTATGTCTGATTGTTTTTGTTGTGACGTGTCTACATGTTGGTTGAGATGTAGCAATGTTAAGATTTGGTGATGAGGAGGGTGCGTATGATCCCGCAGAGAGATTACCTTGGATTATTGTTCCTGGCATGAATTGCATCGTTGCGAAGAGAATTCCAATCTAACTGTCTAAGCTTTCACCTTCTACTTTTAACAATTCACAAATTCAAGATATTGGATGCAAAGAGTCTCTGCAATCACTCAACAACTAGCATCAAGGGAATACAGTATTGCTGCCATGACTACTAGAAGATTCTTTGTAAGTTAGTTAGTTACTCTATCTAATGTTTTGAAGTTGAAGCATTACAAGCGGGTTTGACGCACTTTAGCCAATTAGATTGGAGGAAACTGGAAGATGAATGCATCGACAAAACTCGTCGAAACTCTGGTCAAGATGCTCAATGAAGCTAAATGGAGTCCTGAAACCGGTAAAATCAAGCTTACATCACGTCAAGCTGCATGACATTCAAAAATTTGAAAACCCCTACTGCAGAGGTCGTCGTGTCTCCTCCAAGCCCATACTTGGACATGGTTCGCAAATCATTACGCAAGGAGGTCGGTGTCTCGGCTCAGAATGTATACAATGCGGCAAATGGTGCTTTTACTGGTGAAGTCAGGTATGAGCTGTCAAACTCAGTGCTTGGATGCATGCTGAATGAGGTATTTTTTGCTAGTCCTGAGTTCCTCAAGGACTTGAGTGTAGAATGGACTATTCTAGGACACTCTGAACGTCGTGATATCTTCAAGGAATCTGATGAAGCAAGTTGTCAACTCTGACAATTCATGGTCTTCAGGCTTGGGTTCAACGTCAACACTTTACCAACACACTCTCTCATCACACCAACCTAGTTCGTGGCATCAAAGGTCGCATTTGCACTCAACTCTGGCTTAAAAGTCATTGCATGTTGTGGTGAATCCCTGGCCGAACGAGAAGCCAACAAGACTACAGAAGTCATTTTCCGACAATTAGGAGCTATATCTGCTAAAATCGCTGAAGCGTCCAAAAACGATTGGACTAATGTTGTCATTGCTTATGAACCAGTTTGGGCTATTGGGACTGGAAAGGTTGCGTCTCCTCAACAGGTATAAACAGCTGATGCAATAAACGCTGTGTATGTTTTTTTACCGTCTTCTTGAAGGGTGCCTTACCACAGACTAACCAGTTTACATCATACATTAGGCTCGTGAAGTCCACATGGAAATCCGAAAATGGTTGGCATCCACTGTGTCCCAACAAGTTGCAGATGCCACCCGTATCTTGTATGGTGGATCAGTCAATGGCGCAAACTGTGCTGAGCTTTCGGTACAGGAATCTATTGATGGGTTCCTGGTTGGTGGTGCCAGTTTGAAGCCAGAGTTCGTGACTATTTGCTCTGTAAAGGGCTAAGAACAAGATGATATATAGAGACGATAAAAATATATTTGGATTGAATTGGCCAAAAACAATGCTTCAAAATTGTCAAGGATTTGGCGATATTAAGTTTGAACCACGTCTGTTTACGTAACCTAACGCATGTAGGTGCTGGCTATCGATATGAAGATGTTCAGCGATATTTGCTAAACCTCTGTTTGACCTGCTATTCGCAAAACCCAATTTCTTTTCAAGCGACGATGGATTTGGAAGCAGCAGCAAAAGCGAGGAAGGCCAAACTAGCTGATCTAAAAGCCAGGAAGCTAGGAGGCAATGTGCAGCAGCAGGAAGTCAAGCAAGTTCCTGAAACCAGGTAAGAAACCAAAAATGGCACACCGATGATTCTGAACTAAGTCTGTTATAGGCAAACCGATGATGACGAAGAAGGCGAGAATGCATCAAACGGACATGCTACTAGTGGTAAAAGGAGACGAGAGAATGGTGATGATATAGATGTCTTGATGAGGTACATTAAAACATTTGAGCAGTTTAACGTTGGTTGTTCGAGAAAAATGAAGCCAGAAGTATGATGTATAGCATGTATTTCATGATTTTGTTGGCTCTTTGTGATCATATCTGGTGGTTGGAGGCTCTGGATGACGCTGTTGCAGGACCAATAAAACCTGTTGGACAATACCATTCACTCATGAGACTGATGTGCCTTTTTTTACTCCTTGTGTTTAGGCCATCGCATCTAGAAGCAGATACAGCCGAATTCGCTAAGGAAGCGTTACAAGCTGAAAAAGATCGAAACCAAGAACTGGTAAGCTAATGAATATGATGAATATGGATAGGTTTTAAGCTCTTACATTACATGTATCCAAACCTCGTCATTGACGCATCATACAAACAGGATTTAACAAATCTAGCCCCCAAAAAGCCAAACTGGGACCTAAAAAGAGATCTAGAGCGTAAACTCAAGAAACTGGATCGTAAGACTCAGATAGCTATAACGGATCTCATTAGGAAACGATTACAAAAGGATGGGGATGTTGGGGATGTTGTTGGCGCTGCTGGTGATGGTGTGAATATGAAGGAGCAGGAGGATTCTGATGACGAGTGAAGTGGAGAAGCGACGATACATCTCGTTGGTTGTCCTAACCGTTTCGTGCCAGGTTTTTTTGCTGTACATATAATGATTTTGCTTGTTTTCGCATTTTGAAAAATACATCGTATACTGTAATATTACATCGCAAGGTTGCCAAAACACGTCTTCTCTCACAAATAACAGTGTATGTATTCGTCAAAAACCTTAATCTACTCTTGAATACATTACTGAACCCCACTGCCTTGCTCTTGCGACATCACTCATCCTGATCCAAAAGAATCAAACTTCAAAAGACCACCAATAGTTTTGGAATCTGGACCATAGGCCTACCGCTGTCGTTGTAACAGTGTTCTGCCCTTCATTGATATTCCAAATTGCATCGGTTTAATGACAATACAGAGTGCACCGAATCCTTTGCAGCACTTCCCTTTTGATTTCCGGGCAGTTTTGAAAGTACCTGACCGCGATGCTGCAAGATGCCAAAAAAGTCTCATGCGATTAAACAACCTGCATTTGCTTCTGTATCACCAAGCCAGCAAGAAGGAGCAAAACTTCCACACTATTGATATGGTCTTATGAAGTTGATATCAGCGGCCTGTCCAACCAGCTCGTCTCGAAAGCTGTCAATTTAGTCCAAATCTCATAAATGGTACATCATTGTTGCCTCTTGATCAATCAGGTCACAATCAAACACACCAGATAATCATGTATCACAACAGCAACAAGCAACATCACACTGCCAAAATCTCCTCTCAAAAATAAGAATGTATGTGATTTGTAAAAAAAAGTTACCTCCACTCTTCTTGTTTTTATACTATTAAAACTCTTCCTTTTTGTCTCTCCCACTTCTCACAAATTCACTCATCATCTTTTATCAAACCTCTTTATCATCGTAATCCATCATAATCAGAAAAAATCAAAACCAAAAAATCATGCAACACCATGATATCCCAAATCTACTTTTGGAATCTGACCATATTGTGGGTATTGTATAGCCCAATATCTTGAAGACTATTGCTAGCGGCAAATCCATTTCCATTCACTGCTGCAACGACGGCTGTTGTTGTTGCTGTGGACTTGGTGGCTTTGGCTGAATCGCTTCGTTGGCGTTCCAAATCGTCCAGGTATTCGTCAGTGATGTCCTCTACAAGTTGAGAGATAGAGGTGTGAGGATATCAACTTATGGTGGCTTTTTTTTGTGGTGCGATATTTTGCTGAAGATAGTTCATCTTCATTACCTGTAACATAACATCCTGAAAACACGGACACATCAAATGAGGTAATTTGAGGGTTGAATTGCGATACAGAGTGCACCAAATCTTCCAAATCCTATACGGTTTTCAGTTGTGTGAGATACACCTTTGAGGTCTGCATTTCTCCAAATCGAGAGTAGGATTCTTTTGTCTTTCGAAGAATCACATACCTGGTAGATGACAAAATCAGCACCAATCTCAGTAGCAACTTGTTCAGGTGTCCGGTTGAAAGCGACCAATTCTTTTCGAGTTGGCATGTCGATACCATATACATTTGGGTACCTGATTGTTCACAAAACAACAGAAGTCAGCAAACGAGTTAAAAAACGGGGCCAATACGCTCAATGAATTACCGAATTGGTGGCGCACACGAAGCAAAGTACACTTTTCTAGCACCACATTCTCTTGCCATTTGAATGATTTCTTTTGATGTTGTTCCTCGTACAATAGAGTCTAAACAAAGACAAAGTGAGATTCACAAAGAGTCAGCCAAAAAGAAACGCAGTCTCAAGCTGAGCATGTTCAAATCGACATACCATCAACAATCAATACATTCTTGTCTGCGAATTCCATAGTCATGGGATTCAGCTTACGTCTGACATTCTTCTTCCTCAATTGTTGCCCAGGCATGATAAAAGTACGACCAATGTAACGATTTTTTATAAACCCTTCACGATATGGAATACCTAGACAGGTTGCAGCTTGTAAAGCAGCAACACGACTGGTATCTGGGACCTAATAAGTGAAAATGTCGTGGTTAGAGACTGAACCACTTGTTGAGTTGGTAAGTGGTTTCTTTCTTGGTGTCAAACGCAATTTCTTTGGTAACGGTCTTCATAATAATATAAGCTGTGGGTGATCACTTCTTTTGACTTCATTTGTGGGGTGTGTTTTGCTTTCATGCAGCGGGGCATGGATTTTCTTAGATCATTTTTGGTCAAATGACAACCAACCAACAGCATCAACCAAACAAAAAAATCAGACATGATACAAGACAATGGCAAGAAGCACTTACAGGAATAACAACATCAAGATCCAACTTGTTTTGAAAAGTCTTTTTGACCTGTATCGCAAGCGCCTCACCCATAGCAAGACGAGCCTTGTACACCGATATACCATCCATAATAGAATCAGGGCGAGCGAAATAAACATATTCGAAAATACATGGGGTGAAGGATCGTGCAGGTACCACTTGTCGTCGTGTAACTTTTTGGTGTCGAGTCACAATGATTGCTTCACCAGGTCCTACATCCTGTATGTTGGTGTATCCCAGTGCTTCTATTGCGACGGATTCGGAGGCAAAGATGAAATCGAGGCCGTGGCCGGGGACTTCTCGTGTGCCGTAGACGAGGGGACGGATGCCGTTTGGGTCTCTGAATCCAATGATGCCGAACCCTAAAGGAGGGTGACGATATTGGTGTTATTGTCGGGGTTGGAGAATCATCAACAAAAAAACCCTGTGATACTACAGCACTACGGGCTGTCAAGGGACATACCAGCAATCATCATTGTACAAGCATAACCACCACGACATTGTTGATACACTGACTTCAAAGCATTGAAGGTATCGTCTTCGTTCAACCTATTAGCGGTAAAATCAATGTCAGATCAAATTGGTCCGAAAACGATACAGAGACATTTAAGATTCTTTTGGGTAGACACAGCTCCGCGCGCAAGTTTGCCTTTAGTTGACCCAACATACCTGAATTTACCAGTCTTTTGCAACTCGTTTGCGAAAATATTCAACAAGAGTTCAGAATCCGAGTCAGTGTTGACATGTCGATGAGCTTCAATATCCAGAAAGTGTGCCAATTCTTGCGCGTTTGTCAAGTTTCCATTCTAATACCATCAGCAATACGCAAATCAGTGGGACACGAAGACCAAAAAAACTAATCAGTGAGGTCAAAGGATTGGCTTCACACTCACATGAGCAACCACAATACCATACGGACTGTTGACATAGAACGGCTGAGCTTCTGACAGTGAGCTTGAGCCAGCAGTTGGGTATCGAGCTATTGCAACGAGACAATGTCAAACGGCGGTCAAAAGAATCACACCAGGATTTCCAAAAGAATTTACCATGAGCAACACCCATATAACCCATCAAATTAACTAGTTGCTTTTCATCAAACACGTCTCGCACAAGTCCGTTTCCTTTACATTGATATAATCGACCCTACGACAGATGATGTGTGTCAAAAAGACAGGTGTTTTGTTCACGGTCCGAAGAGTCCAGATAAGGATCAAACGTTCTCAGATATATGACTGTCAAATAGTACATACACGTGCTCCACAAGTGACGATACCGGCGGCATCCTAAGATTGTCAAGCATAGGAAATTCGAAATCAGCTCCTTATCTTTCTGATGATGCAGATTTGATATCAGTCAGTTACCTGACCACGATGCTGTAGGATGCCAAGCGCTTCGTATAATTCAGCACTAGCACCTGTATTAGCTTCTGTATCAGCCAGCAACAAGGCGAGAATTCCACACTAACAGATGGTTTGATGTCAGTTGTTTTTGATGCTATAATCGATATCGATTAGGAAAGAAAACTTTGGCGTCAAGAGGTGCATCCAAATTCCTTAGTTGCTTCTCAAGCTACAAGTGCTGAAAAGGAGCTTATCTTACCATTATTGGTATGGGGCTTCACAGATTAAGAGGAAAGTGTAGGATGAGGCTCTTATCTTGACAGCTTCAACGTGAAAAATGTCAAACTTGAAGAAAAAGTCGGAGATTGTAAGTTACGAGTCTCTACGGTTTGTGAAGGAGATTTTCTTTTTCTTCTGCTCCCTTTACGAGACTCGACGAAAAACCACTGTTGAAACTGGTTTGCGTCGACTTCCCTTTTTAAAACTACCCTGGCTTCGGATGCTACATACAACATACAACATAACGAGCACATAAAACTGCATCATTCATTGTCTAAATAATATACATTCATTACAGATTGCTCTTTATATCCCGCTGTCTTCACCAATTTGGTTGTAATCGCCTTTGAGATTCTCCTTCCATAAAGACACCTAATGGCAACGAGAAAAGAGAATCAGTTCACGCATTCATAGAGCGAAAAAGATACTATCGTGACGGCAGCATACCTTGTTGTCACCAGATGATACGGCCAAAATGTTGCCAGCCAAAGACCAACTGACTCGCCATACAACATCGGAAAAGGCCTCATTCTTGACAATCTTGCGAGTCCAATTGGCTGTAGGACTGTCTTGAGTCCATACGAACACCAACTTGTCCTGTTTTGGTAGGATGGGATGTGAGTGAGAATGGGATGTGAGTGTGTGTGAACAGGGTCATTGGCGATGATGTTCTGTGTCAACAAAAACACATTTCACACCTGTCCACAACTGGCAAGGTAGCTATGAGGTAATCCTATATTCGGCGCCCATGCCACATCACGAACCCAATCTGTATGTCCTTCTAGTGTGAATTCTTCCTTCCATGATCCTTGTCCTTCGTCCCTGGACAAGATAGATAATGATGATGAGTATTTGTTAAACGACCAAAAAACGAATCGCAAACGAACACTAATACTCACTTCCATATTTTTATGAGATTATCACAACCACCAGACGCAAACCTCCTGGCTGTGGAAGCCAATGTTGACGAGGTTGAATGTACGAGACTTCCTGGCGTTGTTGCTGGTGCCCAACTGACTGCATTGCATCCAATAGAATGAGCTGGGAATGCGACAGATTCCCATTGTCCATCCTCTATAACGCAGCAAAAAAAGGAGAGGAAATAAGGAGTCCAAAGAAGAGAAATCCAGAGTACGATTCCGTGGATTATTAGCCTACCTTTACACGTCAAGAGCGACACTTTGCCATCAGAAGAAGCACAAGCCAGTACTAGTCCAAATTCATGTGGAGCCCATGATACCGAGTTGACTATGAGCGTGTCGTTTAATCGGTTAGAATAGCGTCACGAGATACACGAGTCTTCTTGTAATCTTCTGTTTGTCAGTCTCGTTGTTTTTGCTGCTCTTATTGTTACCGGAAGCAGTATGTACAGCGTGTTCCTTGATTTTGATCCATTGTCCATTGACTTCCTTCCATACGAGCACCCGTGTATCATATGAACATGAAGCCAATAGATTTCCAAACTTGGGATGTGCCCAAGCTACTTGCCATACTGGACCTTCGTGTCTATATGAGTTTGGGTTTGGAGTGAGATGAGGAGTTCAAGACACTTCCAACCAACAGAATCTGCTAGTAGATTTGTTTCAAATGCTCATATACCCTCGTAAAATATCAATGGGTCGATGTTGCTCTCCTTCAATTTCGAACAAGCGAACAGTTCTATCTGATGAACACGTTGCTAGTTTCCGGCCATAGTAGTCTAGTTGCGCATCATGCTATGTACCGAAAGCAGAGTATTAGTTATGAACAAGGATGTGCATACTGCTTCGGAATTGGATTGTTTGTTTAAATTCGTCAAAACCTACCAGCAAGTCTTCGTGTTGACTGTCAAATGTCATGGCAGCCTAATAATAAGAAATTTGAGATTTTAAGGAGTCGATGCATATGTTTATGATATCTCCACATTAGCTCCCACCATGATTGCTTTTTGTTTCTCTCCTTACGTGTGTTATTTGCGATGAACGAAAGGACTGGTTTCGAGAAGTACAAAGGACGAGTTCGCGGAACCAACACACGTTCAAGATTGCCCTCTACTGCTGCTTTATATTACCACTAAATGCTATGGTTATAAACCTACGCAACACGAAATCTGATTACGAGAACTTTGTCTTGATCTTTTATTGCTAACTACAGTACAAAACTCAACCTTGTTCAGCTTTTCTAAGCCACGTAAGTAGATGGGCGATGACCGATGAAGGTGTTGGCATGAGCCTTGGATGCAGCTCTTTGAACTCGGTGAGGAAGAGGGAACTTGAGACCAGGTACCTGTTACGTTGAAGGCCGAAAAAAAGGTCAACTGGATGGGAAGGCCGAAAGGGCCAACCAGAGCAACAAACTACACATGATACACATACCAAGACTTGTTTGATGTGTGGACGTCTGACATCTTCGTTCTTGACAAGGGCGACCTTGATGATTTGGATGGAACTGAATCGAGCTCGGTGCTTTGAAGCCATATCTTGGTCTGTAGAGACGAAGTGATATCAATAAACGGACGATGCGAGGTCTTGGGTGTTTCATTCCAAAGGCTGTTGGTTGGCCTGATCCACCATGATATCCCACATGTATCACTGTGTATCTAATGAGACTTACAGCAAGAAGCAACAGCGTCTGTTCGTGTCAATTCTCTGTATTCCTTGTACATGTTGTGGGTACCAGATCGAGAGTTGTATCGTAGCCAGATACCGTAGTTTTTGATGACCAATGGCTTCTTTTCAAAGATCTAGACATACGTGATGATGATGAGGATTCTGATGTAGAAAAGCTTGTAGTGTTTGGACATCAGTTGTCCTCTCTCGTGTATGTGCAAGTGTTTTTTTCAGTCGCAGTTCATCCACGCTCAGTGCCTTGTACAACATCCATCCAAAGTAGCTGCATACTGTAATGACTGTAATATATACCAGTCCACATATCTCCTCTCTTCTGCTCTGTCCCCAATCCCATACCCAAGCTCCTTGATGCCTACCTCGTTAACAGCAACGATTTCACCAGATGCTCTCTTGACCTTACGGACTTGCTTCAAAAAGTACCAGAAACGAGACTTTGCGACAGTAGTATTTGGAGCAAATAATCTCATCCGGTATAGCTTGGGAATTGGCTCTTTTTCAGTGGCCAGTTTCCTGCCAATGACCTAGTTATGAGAGTAATTTGAGCTATCATGATGAAAATGGTGCTATTTATCCTGAGGAAAGAGGGAATACCTGGTATTCGTGATAATGGGATATGGTCATATTTGCCGTGATAGTGTCTTGTTGCCACTAACGATGCTAATGATGGATTGACTCTGTCGAAAAAAAATAGGGAGAGCAAGGGGAGCCTTTGGGGCTTGGATTGCACATCTTCGTTGATGAAGCTGAGAGGTAGAAAATAAGGAAAGGGCACTCAATTCAAAAGTAAAATTATTGTAGTTTGTAGTCACTTTCCTTCAACCAATGACACGAAAACTTGGACGCGTTTTCACTACTTTGCAGTTTTCAGCCAGCCATTTTCAAATCAACTCTTAGCACCATCATTATACTTACACCATCAACATAGGAATTATTACTATCTATCGGCCGCTTTTCTATCACGTAATTGTTGTGTGTTTTGTCGTTCTCCATCACCGTCCACCCTTTCACATCTTCACACATACACGTACACAACGATAGAGAGTACATCAAAAATCATGAGGATATTATTACTACTCGCTGCATTCATATCCCTAGTATGCGGGACCGTACTAGTATCAAAGGTATGTCATTGACGCATTTGCAGGTACATTTATGACAAAAACAATCATATTTACAATAGGAAATCGAACAAGAATACTTTGTCCAGGGCAGGCCAACTACCGTCAAAGTATCCGTATTCAATCTAGGACCAGAGTACGCCGCTATGGTTGGACCATGCACCATCCGTCAACATTACAAACTCATTGCCATCAAATACTAACTAGGGTCATCACAAACGTCATCTTGAATGACAAGGTAACCATTCCACGTTAGAATTACATCTCTCAATTTATTGGAATCTGAACCCACACTTCTCATCTCACACAGAGCTTCAAAAACCACACACAATTCACGATCCAAGAAGGTTCAACAACATCCACCACCTTCCCCAAAGTCAATATCGCTGCAAACGCTACCTTCTCTTATGTCGTTGTCGCGGCCATAACTGGTCCATTCCAAGATGAACCTGTTGCGGTTCATTATACTGTAAATAACAAGAAAGTCGTAAGTGAAGCTCGGTGGGCCGGTTTGGCATGCATCCAGCATATTCGTTTTCTTTTAGCTGGCTTATTCACTCACGAATAACTCTCATATTTTAGACGGCATGGTCTTCGTCATTGGGAGCTGTATATATCGCTACTGAACAAGAGTATGCTACCATTTCTTCACATACTGTGAGTATCGGGATGGTAGAAACGTGCTTCCGTGTCCTCTTGTCAATTGTCGGTTAAAAAATTCATACAACAACCACCACCACCAACACCACCAAAAGAATGTTTTTCAACCCCTCTCACACACCTCCTTTTTCACAATTTACAGAACGAATGGCTCATATTTGCTGGTCTGGCATCATTGCCAATTGTTGTGCCATATGTTCTCTATAGTTCTTCAGTCGGTGAACTTAGACCTTCAAAGAAGACTCAATAGATTTTACATATGTCAAGAGTTTGACACACCTGAAATCATTTTGCTCAAAGTCTCTCGGGTCCTAATTTGCCACTGAATCGAGACTTTGAATGTTCTTTTGGGTATTGGATCGGCTCGACTCATCGTTCTTTTAAACAATGAGCAACTTCGCAAAAAAAGATCGAAGAATGAAAGCATCACAAGAAAAATGAATCAGAATGACAAAGCAAGGTTTTGTTTTTGGCAATTTACATCTTGTGGCAATTTAGAGAGGATAAACTTTCCTCCAAGCGGTTTTATCATGGCGTTTGTATATTGTATTTTCAAAGACTTCTTTGGCCGTATGGTATGTACCATCATCGTCTGTCTTTGCAGAATCATCCCATATTCGAGTAATACCATAGTCAGGAAAGACCATCAGGAAGGCCTCCAGCTTATTGGGATCGCCATCGAATTGTACATAGTACAATGCTGGTTGGTCTTCAATCTTGACAGCTTCGTTGTGGTTCAGCAATTTAAAGACCCTGAGGCACAAATCATATTTACGGTCGACATGACCCCATTCCTTTTGAGTGACTGAGTCCCCAACCAAATCAATCATAACCCTGTATTGACTGAAAAGAAGATGAGAAAACACTCCGAGCCAACTTTGCAAGATGACATGTCGACAAGAATGAAATGCAATTTCCAAAACTTACATTTCTGGTTGGATAGGTACTTGAGCTACAGCCCTCTCGACTAGAAACTTGTTCAGTAACTGCAAGGTGTGTAGACTGGTCAAAATTTCGAACATGGTATGGGCTATCTCATTATTTCCTATCTGGAAACGAGTGAACTGTCACAAAAGACTGAGGAGAAATGAAAGGTGCCGCGAAAGCCAGTTTTTCGAGCAGCTCCAAAAGACTGGAAAACATACCACAACAGGAGAGGCACCTCCGCTCGAGATTTGATTTGCACTCGTACTTGAAGACTAGAAATGAATGAAAGATCAGTACATAGTTTTTCGAAGGAACCAAATTTGACAAAAAACCCTAACGTGCAATTGATTGAGAAAACTTACTTCATGTGCATTTGATTCCAAAGTCATTGAGTTGACAGGAATTGATTGACCTACACCAGCAAGATATGGCTCCATAAACTTTTCAAAAGCCTGCTTGAACATCGTGTCATTGCTGGCATTGTTGTTTGCTGATACTGCTTTGGAGATGTCAGATTCACCGTTTCCCGACTTCTGAGCATTTGACCTTCCTTGAGCATAATCTAAGTTCAATTCAATGAGTGAATATTCAAAGTTTCGACTCATCCACGGCGATGAATGCAAGAGCAAGAGAAACCACCGCAAATGTGACTATCAGCATTTTCTGTGTTTGTATGCGCTTTACCTGCAGTGGTGGAACCAAACATGGCCATGAGCCCTCCAGCGGGAGACATTCCGGGTGGATCAAAGCCCATCGAAGGCTGCGTATTTTCCACACCACGTTCACCACCAGTACCGAAGGGAGCTCCTAAGCCTTGATTGTGATGAAAATTAGTTTGATTGATGATGAATCTCGTCGTTGATGTATGATTTTTTTGCTTTTTTTCTATGTGAGTGTTGTTGATCAAAGTATGATCTGGCGAGTATGTGATCAAAATTCAAACAGCAAGAATGTTTTCGACATCAACCCAGATTGAAATCAAGCTCGGTGAAAGAATATGATTGGATCATGATTGAGACGTACCGTATGTCCAAGATGAATGTTTGGGTCGAATTCCAGGTTGGCCATTACCATGTGTTTGAACAGGAGCAACAGAGTATGTTGCATCTATTTCAAGTTTGGATCATTCAGCTTCAAATGTTGGTTGACTTAAATGTTTTTCTTGCATGTTGCGCTGTGTGTGTGATGTGATCATGTTTGATGATGATCATAGCGATGATGACTTACTTGAGTTGGAGAATGGGGAGGGAGGGATAACAGGAGAGCGTTTCTTATCTCCAAACTTTTGTATCTTGCTTGGCGGGGAAACATCCTCCATCTCATAGTCATTGTCATTTTGTGATGAAGAGCACTTGCCCTTCACCTCCTCATCACCATGTTGCTTGTCTGACATGGTTTCAAATACTATAATATCAGTTGAACAAGTGGAAAATTGGAGGCTGTTCTAAGATTGGTACGAGTTTGTCACGACAGAACAATTTGAGTTTGTGAAACAAAAAAGATTCGTTAATTCGACGTGTGTCAAATAATAGAGTATGTCTCTATCATGATCTCGACTCACAATTCGCGTGGCTTTATCGCTTCACATACCCTCTTGTCAAGAACTCGAGTGGACCTCGTGAACATCGCATATCCCATCTCATCCTTTTTTTTATAAACCAACATGTCGAAACAGATCCCAAAGCAATCTTGATGATCTCGACAAGCTGTGTGGAATCTATGATAGAAATCGAATAGCATTTTGTCATCAACATCATATCCCACCAACCATTTCATCAGCTGCTGTCGTTTGCCTACCGTTCCGAGTAGATCCACCGTGGCTATCAAAAAATTCATCATATTCATCATCAGATTAGTCCAGAAATCATTGGTTTAGCAATTCCGACTGGCTGAGATAGATGCATACAGCCCTTTTTGTTCATGTTTACAGCCAAGTGATGTGGCGTCACATGCTTGCCAGATATCTTGCCACTCAAACGAGCAGCAAGCCACACTACTTTATATCTATCTGAATGACGTTGGTCACTTCTTTGGAGTATGGTGGCTAGCACAAAAAAAAACAACAGTGGAGTTGAGTTGTTTGACTAAACTGGCAAACCTTCGAGACTTCATACATGGCCAAAGTATCATCAAAACCACACAGCCAAAAAGGGTTTACACAAAGAAGCAGCGTGAAACGGTCATCCGCAAATCCTTCCAGAGAAATATTAGGGTTGAGTAATAGAGGATGCTTGCATATCCTAGCCAAAAAAGAGGAGCATAAGTCCGACCAGATGCTTGAAAAAGAGCTAAATCAAGGTGGAATCTCTGACCAATATTCACCGAGTGCCTTGCTCAGTGTTTCACGAAACACTATTAGCCATCTTCAACAAGAGCCTGGCACACATGGTTTGAAAAACTGCACGACGCCGAAGTGCGATCTTGCGAGAGTAGACCTTAAAAGTCGGAACAATTTGGGTCGGTGAAGTCGGATGCAAGTATGGTGAATCAAGCATTCTACTCGTTGTGACCCAATGGTCTAGATCAACCATAGTTGAGCTAGTAAAGCAAGATCCAACAGAAACTACAATGCATACCTCAGAGTATCACAACAAGTCACTGCAGAGCCACCAACCCTCTTCGTTCAATGAGACAAATAGGGTTCTGAATGCAAGGTTTGCAAGGTGAATATGTGATGAGATTAGAAGAAGTTCGGGGAATGAAGTTTGGCACGTCACTTACCAAATGCTAAATCACTTGGTGTAAGAGGACGTACAGACAATCGTAATATCAATACGACGAGAAATCCTTCAGAAATTGACAAACCCTGACTTTCAAAAGCTTGCCGCACCGAATCCACAAACTTCAAGTTGATTTGAAAAGCAACCTGACGAGAACCAGGAGATTTCCAGGGAAGTCCACTATTGCAAATAGCCTGCTTTATGTCGTCATAGACAAAACTTTCAAAGCTGCGGCAGTCAATTTGTCACTAACCTCTACGTCAGAAACAAGCACGGAGAGAGAGACAAGTCGAGGATTCAAGGCTCTGTTTGAGCTAATTGTTTGAATATGATGTCAGGTGTCGTGAACAGCAAGAGTGTGTTAAATGTTGACACACTAAGCAAGAGACAGCTCACACGAAAAGAATCTGTAAGAATCAGCAGGAGGCCGTCACAAATAATGAACAAACTTAATAATGTCCAAAACATATCGCTGAATTGTTGCTACTCTTACTTGTATTGGTCTGATAGCTATTTCGGCTTCTTCAATATTTTGCGCACAGGCTCTAATTTATTACCTAGCTTCATCGGTTAAGCATACCCAAGTCATCGTGGCTCGATGGCATAAATAAGTATTATATATTGGTAGTGGATGGGTGCGTTGTGGGGATTGAATTTCTGCATTTCATTAGTCGCATTATCCGAGGGTGGCTCTGGTTCGACTCCTGGCTCTACAACTTCATCACTACTTTTTTCCAAAAAAAAAAAAAATCTGCTCACGGATTTGTCGCTTATTTCGTCAGATGCCTTCTCGTAATTGTACACGTTCCCGCATTTGAGCAAAAATTTTCTATGGTCAACCACGATGGTTAACCCAAACATTGAAAATTAACGTTTACACAGCAGCAACCGGATGCTTTTATGTACTGAAACAAGCACAAATACATGGTAAATGCTAGAGATTTGTTGCTCCTCTGGGTTCAAGCCTGATTGCGATTCGGTGATGGGGTTTTCAGGGGTCATCACAGTTTCTGTTTGCGCAAGACGGTTCAGTTCAGATCGGATGCAGCAGAGCACATCCAGTACCGTCTGAGTATCACGACTCAAAGTTAGATACAAAAGCAAATAACATCTGCCTTTGTCCTCGAAGAATGATGTGTCGACCACCAATCACAGCTTGTCGGAGACCGTTCCCTTTCCACGTTGAGTTTACAACGCGGAGGATTGGGTATTCTTTGCCAGCTCTTACATTCGTAGTCCGGCAACTGTGAATGATTGGTTAGACCCATTTTTCAAGATCGCACAACCCCATAAACAGACTCAAGAGCATTACTTCCATATTTACTTCTGATGAATATGGACAATACCACACAGGAATTCTTATAGACACCTTCTATGCCAATTGGATTCGTAGTGGGATAAAGGGTGGGTGGAAGGAGACACGTCCACAAGGTTGCAACTTCTCACATTTAAACCGTTCTGACAGAGAAGACGTAGGAATGTCAACAAAACTGCTTCAGATGAAGCGACGAGCAAACTATCCAAAATTTCGTTGAACTTGAGGGATCCATAGTGCGAATCAGCAATTTTCGGGCTGGTATCAGAGTAGGTCCGATATTTTATTCGTTTTGGAAGAAATGTAAAGTTGGTGAGACACGAAAAGTAATTATCTCCTACGATGAAAATAGAAAGTAACCTCACAATTTCAAGCCCGTAAACCTCCTGAGTTCCGTTACATCCAGAATTCACTTCCTTGGTCACATTTGAAGAGCGAGTATACGTGTCAAGTGTACGTCTTTTGAGCATCGTACATGACACCAAGGCGGGACAAAAGCGTTTTCTAACCCGACACGATGGCAGTCCAAGCACCTCTCTGCCCCGTCCTTGCCGCAAACCTGAGCTAGACATTGCCGAAGGAGGAGTCAAAGCACCATTCAACACTCTATCCACACTCTTTAAATGCTGACGCTTCAACCCAACGGTCGCATATACACGACATGCATCACAATTCAATCTCCCCTCAGTCAGCACTGTAGATATGTCGAGCTACTTGTGGCAAGGATTTGAGTCTTGAGGCAAAGACATCAACTTTCTTCTCGACTTGCGTGTTTTGAAGAGGCCGGTGTGTTAGGTGGGATGATCTTTGTCGAGCAGCATGCGCCTGTGTTGCAAGTGAGAGACAGGGAGAGATCACGTGGTCCGAGGCGTCAACTTTATGATCCTATATACGCCAGAGCGAGGTGTTACGGTTTTTTCCATTAAAGGGACCCACAAAATAGCGTTTGTTATACCTTAAGTATGTCCATCAATAGCGCCAAGACTATTCATTGCTTCCAAAAGATGTCCTTTCCGATCTTGTCTGACATCAATTTCATTCTCTTCTCGTGATTGAAATTGTCTCACTCGAGCAGTCCTTGGTAAAGAATGCTTCTCCCAACGATTTTCATGATACTAGATTCCAAAGTAGGGTATTAATGTCAGTACGACAACAAAAGTTATCTGGAAAAAGCTTGTGCGATATTGAACGCTCAACAAAAAAGAGTGCTAATGGAAGATTATGTAGGTGCAGATGACAACGCTACTCACTAAGTTACCTTGACACTAATATCACGATATGCTTCAATTCACCACCTCGCAACAGCCGTTCCAACTTCAATGCTGGAGCTGCAGAGTGTGTCTCACAGTACCATCAGATGGATTATAATGATTATAAATACCAAATGGCAAATCATCGATCGACTCTCCAAAGAATTCCGGCTTATCTTTGTGTCCTATAGAGTACAATCTTAGTGAGTTTAGTTACAATGTCGGGCGAGTATATCCAGAACGATGTGTTGATCGACGCTGTTTGGTTCAAGATGACAAGACTGACAAGACATTTTGATTTTGAACGCAAAATTTACCTGCTAATGGAGGCTCAGTGATCGGTGGATCAACAGAATCCTTACTCGTTTGCTTCTTTTGAGCCCTTTGCGTAATTTGAGCCCTTTGCGTCTTGCAAAATGTGACGAACGGCTTGACAAATAGGAGACGCAGACACACCACGGGACAAACACGAGTCAAGATACAAGATATAAGTATATAAGGATCAACAAGGAACAACTGCATGAATGTTTGAAAATAATTACAATTCTTCAAAGCTCAGATCTTCTGAAAACTCTGTGTCGTGTTCTTTGGTTTGCTTGTTAGCTAAGACACGCAAAAACATATCAGAATATTTCACTTATGAAAGATTATGCAACTGATAGTACATACCACGGTGTGTTGGACCATGACCCTCATCAGACGTCTCTCCAAGCTCATCCAACAAGTCATCCAAAGAATCATTAGACGAAGACATTCCAACGTTATGTTGTTTCTCCTTGGAACTTGATTTCAATCCACTTGACGATGGTAAAACTTGAATCTTGGTTGTTCTGAGTAGAGGTGTCAACAAAAGTTGGTAAGCTTCTCATCCACTGTGGGATATTCTTGAAAAATCTGCTTTTTGTACTAACTTTGGTTGAGCAGGAGGTTTCAATGGTACTCTAATAATCTCCGGAGCAGCCAAAAACTCATCACTTCTACGCCCTCGTGATGTCGAAGGACGAAGATGTCCTGGTTTCACTGTTCGTTCCGACTCGGTTTCATCCTCCTCTTCCTCACCACCACTGATGGAAGGCATAGACACATTGAATGATTCTTCGTCCTTGTTGTTTTGGTCGGATCTTGCTGTTCCTCCCACAGGTTTCAATTCAACAGCTTTGAGCATCTCTTTAGACACCGCCATCATTTTCAGTGGACTTGATAGAGTCGGCGTAGTCGGTGTTATCATAGTGGCCCGTTGAAGGGTATGAGTGGATCGTCCATTTCCCTTGGACTCGGTTCGATACAATTCAGGTGCCTTGTTTGTCTTGTTGCTGTCACCACCAACAATCGTATTAATAATAAGAGATGAATCCGGCTCTGGTGACGATGACGGTGACATTACAGCTAATTTGCGCACATTGGACGGTGGACGTTGTCGTGATGGTCCATGTGGTCGTACCGGTGATTTGGGGACTGGTGCTGATCTTGTCGGTGGTGGTAGTGCAATTACTAGTTTTGAGGCTGATGGAGCTCTACCCAGTGACTGTTGCTGTTCTTGTTGAGGCTGATTACTGGCATGTTTAGCAGAATGACTGGATTTAACACTGCTGACTGATGGCCGGAAACTATGTGGTTTGTCTTCTGCTTCTGAGAGTATACCCTCTGACGATAATTCATCATCATCGTACTCGAGGTGTTTGGCTGCTGCATTTCGACTTGCAACACTCTCTTCTTCTTGGTCTCTTCGTGTTTGTAGCTGACTGGTACGAGCTGCAACACGATATTCACCATCGACTTGTGAATCCTTCTTGACTTGTTCAGCAACCACCGCTTGACCTTGTAGGTCTTCCTTACTTGGTCGTTTACGGAAGGTTTGCTTGGAGTGTTGTCGTGCTTGATGTTGATTCAACGGCTCTTCACTGGCAGGAATTGGTTGGTCGGCTGACTTGTCACTCTTGCTGCGAGTACTACTCTTACGGAAGAGTGAGCCCGTTCTTGATAGTAGGGTGTTTCCCTTTTTAGGTTCTTGTTGTTGTTTTCCTGATGCTGTCGACTGCTCTGAATTTTGTCTCGACAGTGGTCGGAATGCTCTGACTGGTGACGCCGGTGCAGACGAGTCTGTACCGCTTACTACCACCACCTCCGTTTTGGGGTGTACAGGTGACGATGGATCGCTAAAACAATCAGTCACTGAGAAAGTGTAAGGCAAAAAAATAAGCAAAAAGTGGACCTACCCTGTACTAGCAACTCCACTTTCCGACTCAGAATATTCCGTACTAGCTGCCTCTGATCTTCCACCAAAACTACTAGCTCCAGAACGTGTACGGCCTCTCAAGAAGTTAGGCATCATCTTCCAACCACCTGAAAGAGTCCTAGCTCTTTTACGCTCAGTTTGCTCCTCATGCATGAGACGTATTACATCATTATCGACGGGTACTCCAGCAAAGTGCAGTCGTGTCGGTGATGATGGACCTGAAGGATTACGAAGAATGGATTTCGTCGGGGATGGTGGAGTTGATGTGGAGTATCTTTCCGTGCCGCCTGTTGCTGGATTTCCGGATAGTGTCGACATGGCAGATGGTGGTTGATCGATAGATGCGTCACGATATGATGTTGATGCACCTAGATTTTAAAAAGTATTAATTATTTTAAAATAGTGAACGTCCGAAAAAAAATCACCAGACGTAAGAGGTAAAATATACCCTATACTCACGAGGTTTGCTGACAGGTCCAGTTGGTTTACCCTTTGGCACATCATCGATAGCTTTAGCAGACTCCTTTCTCCCCAAATCCAATTTAGGTGGCTTGACACGTTCTCTAAACCACCCAGTAACAGCAGCTTCCAAATGATCTTCCAACCATGGTCGAATCATTCCATATCCATAAGCGTCCTCTTCATGTTGCCTGGCATGCTGCTTCTCCAGATCGCGCCATTTAATATTCAGCTCAGATTCTATAATCGGATCTCTACCCCATCGTTCGAGGAGATTCGGTAAAGTAATTCCCATTTTGGATAATTGAGCGTCTACAACTTGATTCACGATTACTTTTTCTCGTGCGATTGCTTGGGCAGAGTGTGCGTATAGGGTATGTAGCCACGGAGCTTCATTCTTCATTGGTTGTTCGACGTGGTCTTCGAGGAGAGACATTACTGAGCGACGTCGTGAAGGGGAAGCTGGGGTTTGTGATGCATCACTCATCAGCTCGTCGTCTGTGCCTACAGCTTCGTTAACACCCGTCGTGAGTTTCGGCACACTTGTTGATTGAGACATTTTGGCAATGTTGTGAGCACTACTGGCTGTATCGACTACCGATGCCCGTCTTTTTGGTGGGCTGGCTAAATTGTTTTTGAGACGGTTGATTTCATCAGAGGCTTCCGTGAGTCGTTTTTCCAAGTCTCGTTTGTCCTATTGAGCAAAAACAAGGTTATAAAAAAAAAGGTTTTCCTCATAACTACAGGTCAAACTATAACTTACATTCTGCTCAATAGTCTGCTTCATATTCCGTATTTCGGCTTCTAACCTATCTCCCAACTCTTTTAATACCAAACTTTGATGATCTTCTATCTTCGAAACCAAGGTTCTTGAACTCATCTCCTTTCTCAAAGGAGATTGTTTCGGAGTATCAGTATCATCTTCCAAAGTCCCCACAAATGAAGTCAGCTTTGTAGGCTGGGAAGCTTTTTCAATAAGAGCAGTCAATGCTGCCTTTTCAGCTGCCAACATGTTTCGATCTTGATCAATCTCTTGGTGAATTTGCGACTTCATGTTTTGTAATTCACGTTCGTATTTCAGACGTTCTTGCTTGTATAGGTCTTCCATGTTGATCTATGCAAAAGAAAATCAGGATTTACTGATAGCGTGGATGTGTGTTGGTCACAAATGCAGCGTCCACAAACCTGTCGATGAATCAACTCCTTCTCCAATTTATGCTCCATTTCTTCACGCAGTTTTCGTTCAGTGTCCATGACTCGTCCAGTAAATCGTTCAATGACTGCCGTAATCTTGTCTAGAGTTTGCAAATCAATCACACCAGGAGGCAATCTAGGTTCAACAGGTGCTGCTTGCTGTATAATAACAGGTTGAGGAGTTGGTGCTGTTGGTGGGGGAGCTGCAACTATTGCAGGAGGTGGTGGTTTATCCAAATAATTCTCGTTATCCGGATGACGACGACGTAAATGTGCGTCGAGAAAGTGTTCAGAGTTGAATACTTTGGGACAGTAACGGCATCTCTGTAATGTTGAGAGAGAGAGAGTTGGATTCAGAAAGAGTAAGTGCAAAAAAAGCAGACGCATTGCTTGATATTCACATTGTACGAAGCAGGCACTGGACCACTGCCTGGATGACCTGGACCATTTGGCAACTTGGCCATGATCTGATATGCAAAAAGACTCTTCCTGAGCATTCTATTGTCTTTTCTCAATACCGCAATCTCATTCAGCTTAAAAAGTGAGAGTTTTAGAAACAAGCGCCATGCAGTAGGTCACAGATGTCTTACATGACTATCAGTCACTTTTATGGCGTCAGCAGCACTAGCAGAAGCGCGTTCCAACTCTTCAGCAACACATCTGCGATCCTCCACCAGATAGTCCTGCGTATGTAGCAGATACTCGACCATTAGCTGAGACAGCTTGAAGAGCTTTACAAAGTTTGGATCCACAAAGCGTAAATCTAAGAAGGCATTGAATAGATCAGATATGTGAAGATGACATGTGATCTTCTTCGCTACGTGCAGGATGAGCATACCTTCAGCTTCAATGTCGCAAAATGCAATATTTTCAGTAACTTCTTGTAGTGAGTCCAAGTCGACCTGGAAGAAGATGAAAAGATCAGTATGGCTCTTGAATATGGCCAAGTACAAAGCAAGTGGTTGACAAGTCACGACTCTTGTTTACCTCTCTAATGATGTTGTCTAGTTGAACACCAGCGAGAGCGCGCCAGTTAAGACGTTCTCGTCTCCTTCTGAAATAGAAGCCATTTGAAGCATTCTTTGGATCGTCAGGTGTGGTGCGATTGGTATTGATCTTGTGTTTTGGACTTGAATTGTCTTGCTGGCGCGATTTGTCAAAGAGTCCAGCAGGAGGTAAGAATCCATTTGGTATGCTATCTACAGTGGCAGCCATAGATCTACAATTTGGCAGGCCACGTAATAGAAGTCTCTACGCCTCTCCTGGCCGAGCGAGGTTGAATTTTTGGATGTTTGCTAGCAAACTTCAACTTTTCCTTTAGACAACACACAAAATCAACAAATTTCGAGTGTCGCTGATTCACTCAATACAATAGCAGGAGAGCTTATTTAATTCGCCAGCCACACGTATATATAGTGTCGACCGAGTCTAATAGTTAAATCGAGCATTCCCTGACTTCAAAAGGCCAAATTGGACAGACATCAATTTGGCAAATTACGAGAATTAGGGAAGCTAGTGTGCCAGCATCAGAACTGGTGGTGCCCGAAGATTTGAGAGATTTTGAAGTACTTCAATATAGGTGCTGGTGTTTGCTTTGGAAGCGCCACAACTGGATACAGTGATACCTTGTTTGGGGCAGCCAAGTCGAAAGCTATAGTCTATAAACTACCTCACTTCAACCAAGAGCTGATTGTTGGGTGTCTCTTCTGCCAAAATATGGAAGGTCGCGATGGAGCTGTGCAAGCAGGCTACGATCTCCATATTCATGATCACTTAGTTGATGAGCGGGTCCAGGATTCTCAAACTGTGCTGGACGCCCAAAGAACAGCAAATATCGTTCTGGCGATTCTAGCTGCAGTGAGGGCTATAGCTCGTTGATGGGTTATTGTTAATGGTAATCGTAATATCATAATTTAGTGTCAGACTGTCAAAGTTGCAGAGAAGGAACGTGTCATATGTCAAGAATCCAAGTGGATAGTTTTCAATTGTAATATAATAGATCATTTTCACAAACAAGGTACAATTACATTTCGCAAACATCTAGTCGTGAATTCAGCATTAGGTGATCTAGTCTAGAATTCAATTACGAGGGCTCGCTTTGCCATAACATCTCTTTAACTGAAGCAAAAACAAAGTAAATGCTTGTTCAATTGGGTTCTTAACGAGGAATTCTCACTCTTGCTTCTCCAGCTCGATTGAACAGTGACAAAAAATGTCGGTAACATTCGGCGGAGGTAATGTACTGTTCTTATAATTCATTCAAAGCACTCACAACAATATAATTAATTCTGCGTTATGTTTACTTAGACGAAGTATCCGCCATTGTGATGGACTTTGGGTCATCAATTACAAAAGCTGGCTATGCTGGAGAAGACACTCCAAGAGCTGTCTTCCCGTCATGGCTCGGTGTCCCCCCTGGATCTGATACAGTCGACAACAATATAAAGGGTAAACAGCCAATCCTACCTACCGACGATGCTATGGATGTCGATTTAAGACCAAATACTCAACATCCTGTAAAGAAACGTAAAAAGAGATTTGTGGGAGAGAATCAAGCATACTTGTGGCAACCTGCTGTTGAAATGAAGAATCCTTTCGTGGATGGTGTCTGTAAGTTGGACTGTTTATGAACTATTGACCAGCACCTAACAATCCCATTAAACAGTACAAGACTTTGACTTGTTGGAGTCCTTATGGGATCATGCCATGTATGGAAGTCTCCGTGTCAATACTACAGAACACCCACTATTATTGTCAGAAGCACCCTTCAATGTACAAAAGACTCGAGAAAAGCTCACAGAGCTGGCATTCGAAAAGTATGGCGTGCCTGCATTCTATCTGGAAAAGAGTCCTATATTGTCTGCTTTCGCTTTTGGACGTGGATCTGCCTTGGTCGTTGAATCAGGAGCTGGAAGTACATGTGTCACGCCGGTGTCTGAAGGTCACATACTTCGAAAAGGTATGATCGTAAATCTGTTGGGCTATATTTTTGCATCGTTGAAGTGACATCCTTTTGTTGCTAGGACTCAAACGACAACCTATTGCTGGTGACTTTTTGACTCGGCAAGCTGAATTGTACTTGAGACATGCCGGTGTCGTTGTCGAGCCCCAATATCTCGTGTATCAGAAACAACCAGTCGATGCAAATGCTGCACCTATATACACTCGTCGTGATCGAGCAGGAACGACTCAAAGCTGGCATCGTCAGGCCACCTTGGTATGTGTTGAGTGAGCCGTGCACCGTTTTCTTCGAATTCTCATTCCACCAACATTCCCATTTTGTAGAGGGCAGTGAATGATTTCAAAGAGACTGTTTGTATTGCTTGGGACAAGGAACCATACAATGAGCCGTGAGCTGGTTTTGTCGCGTAACTGGTGCAAATTGTCTGCTGATTTCTTTAGCATTCATAGATACGCATTGACAAAAGGAGCCAAATCGTACGAGTTCCCTACTGGCTTCAACCGGTCGTTTGGTATAGAGAGAACCAAGATTATGGAAACATTGTTTGATCCTGCCTATGCTCTTAAAGAATATGTTCGTGTTGACACACTGCTCCTCTGAGCACATCCAAGTATTTACTATCTGGTTTTTTATATTAGGAAACTGATCCAAATGTTCAATATGTCGGTATTGGAAACCTGATAAAGCAATCTATCGACACAATCGATCCCGACATTCGACCAATGATGGTGAGCAATATCATTCTCACTGGTGGAAATACCTTGATTCCTGGACTGTTGGATCGTCTCCAGACCATGTTGTCTCGTATGCCTGGAAACGTAAGCCCATTCTGTAACGATTGTAATTATTTTGTGATTGTCGAAAAGTTTTAACGATAAATCTTCCATGTTTTTTAGGGCAAAGTCAGAGTAAGTGCTTCATCACAACCTGTTGAACGTAAATTTGGTGCATGGATTGGGGGTTCCATTTTGTCTTCTCTTGGTACCTTCCATCAGTTGTGGGTGGCAAAGAGGGAATATGAAGAGAATGGTGTGAATGTTTGCGAAAAGTACTTGCATTAGATAAAAGCAACACCATAGTTAAAACCTTGTATATATACTTTTGTGAATCACAAGTGAGCTGTATGAAAGACCAAAGCGTATGAACTGGTGATGAGCATGGCCTAAGAAAAGGGCGCTTCAACTCTTATCCATATTCAAATCATTTCACTCATACTACAATGCTATGTTCTAATCGACGAGAGCTTCTAAATGTGTATGATTTTACCTCCATTCGAGCTATATTTCAATATACGTTTCTTCAACCTATTTTGCACTTCCATCCACACAAATATGAGGAAAGCCTTTTGGACCATCATATAATATTTAAACACTAACTAAAGACTTCGGCCTTTCTTTGGCGACCTGGACCTTCAGCTTTCGAATGTACGCATGAGTATCATCCATGGTGCCTTCTGCGCATAGGAGCTATCCCTTCAGACAAGTCATACACTGCGAAGGTATCTTCTGCGGTTCGTTTGCCATATACTGGTTGTGCGAAGATCAGACACACATTTATAGCGCTCTGAACCGTGAAGTGGCAATACGATCTGCCAATTCACGAGATATGACAGTTTTCCAGCAGAACACAGACTTCAGTTTTCTCAGTTTGGTAGCGACAAGCGCAAGACAGTGCTCATCACATTTATCGGGAAGAACCAGAGTTACGAGATTCGGACAGCAGTCTACTATCACTTGCAACTTCAAGGACTCTAGTCCGTACTCCCAACCATGAACACCGAGTTAAACGCGTTGTGACCCGTATCGAATAAAAAAAGAGGCGGGCATTCTTTTCGTTGCGTGCCAAGGTTACCCTTGTGAGGTTTGGGATGTGACAATGGAGTGGCGGATTGAAGGATGATTGACGGATGCGTCGGATTCTATATACATTTCCCGTAGATTTAAGGAAATGACGTTCCACCACTTTGGGAAGGAGAGTTGAAGAGTGCTCCATACGGTGGTCTGGGAATGGATCTAATATGGTACAAAGGCTGAGATACTCGATTTTACAATTGACCTCTGGTGAGGCCAAAGACTTCAATATCTGACTATTGTAAGTTCGGCCTCCTTCAGTAGAGAGTACCATCTTCTTCAGATTGACAAAGGGATACAAAGCTGAGACTGGCATGGTGCGGTCACAACCCGAAAACCATAGTTCTGTAAGAGTTTCCGTGCTCGAGTTTTGCAAGTGTTGCAAAAGGCTAAATGTGAATCCATTATCTATGTCACACTTTATATTGAATGTATCCACTTTGAGATACAATATCGCTTTCAGGATTGGCATTGATGGTGGTCTGCTAATGTAGATACTGGCTATACAGTTGGTGTTCCTGGATACAAACCAGCGAGCTACTTGATCGTTCACTAGCCTGTCAACACCCCGGCCTTTTTGGTCCCAGAAACTTATAGTAGATAGATTTCGAGTGTGGGTAAGCACGCTGACGATGTAATTGTATACTGTAACCTGACGTAGATTACTGCAACGTTCCATGAGACGGATGACACGTTGTTCATCGAGATACATGTACGGGACGCTACAAAAGCAGAGAGAGAGAAACTTGAGGTTGGGTTCCAATATGGGATGTTCATTTCCAGCTTGGACCTTACCAATCACAAGGCGAGTCCGCAGCGTCAATAACGCCGATAGGCCTACCAACAAGCTCATACTTTTGACATGTTTCAGCGCATCTTGACCGAAAAATGTTTGATTTGACAGAATGGCTTGGGGCTTGTGATTTTGTGATGGCAATAGCGAGTAAGAGGATAGCCTTCAAAAGGTGGTGGCAACCCTTGGTAAAGTATTCGAAGAGCTTATTTTGAAGGCGGCATTTGCGACAACTTAAGGTACTGGAAATCATCAAAGAACTTACACATTCATTCCATTGCTTTGATGCCCTAGCTACTTGAGCAAGACTTTTCATATTGACACCTCCATACTTCTTTACGAATTCAAGTATTTTGTCAATAAGTTCCGTAGGCAACCAGCCTCCTTCTTAAGTGATCTCGGCCATCTATTTGAAAAATGACTGATATTGTGAGTTGGGTGCGCAGATGCGCAGATCAGCATGCCATTTAATTGTAAACAGTGAGATAGGACATCACTGATTTAGTTGTCTCTCTACCTAGTTCCGTTTGGACTTGCGCCGTTCACGTTCTCAGCTCCGACATAGATAGACGAATCTTTTACGTGGTTTAAGTCAGGACGCGCTTCACGAGTGTACTTAGTACTTACGCGAAGGATTCAGTTTTAAATCCATTAGTGCATTATCTGCACGTAGGACCCGGTCCTTAGGACCGTAGCTCAACTCAACAGCATCCACATCTCAGGACTGACATCCTTCTCGCACAGCACATTTAGGAATTTAGTGGCAAGATGAGCTCTGCAGGAACACTCAAGAACTTTGTGGTCTTGCATACCAAAACTGCCAAGATCCACTTTACAAAGAACTGTAAGTTTTGCCCATAGCCGCTGGTGTCCGCAATAAACTGACAAAGATCTCTTGCTAGTTCAAGGAGATGCACTAGATCAGAGGTACATTCCATCTATTATACTAATTCCTTTCATGGATATATTGCGTGTTCACTTGATCTCACCCTACATCGGCCCTTAGTTTGCTCGTCGCATTCTCATCAACAATTTCAACATTATGCAACTCGCTACTGGGAGAAGGAATACGAGAAATTGTTTCCGTTAATGGACGTCTAGTCTATCGTGAATTTGGATCTGTATGTTGGCGCTCTCGCAAGTCTGTGTTTGATGCCTGAACCCTCGTAGACAATGATTTATGCTTTACTACCACTAGTTTGTGTTTATTGCTCATTGTGATTTGCAGACGAGTAGTGCTGTTGCTCAAGCTGTGCTGAGAGACATTGGTGGCATTTGTGAGGTACAGGGCTACAATCAAGCTGCAGGATGAAAATCACCTCAATTCATTCATATTTGAATATTTAGCTACTGTTTGGAAGTTGCGAATTTTGGGAAGAGGATTACTTTGATCTTAATGGTGCTCAGGTGAGATAATGCTCCCATTGGGTGGGGAAGAATTGTCTCATATATCTCACAACTGTGCATTTAGGACGTTGTGGGCATGTTTTTCAAAAGGACATCTCCAGATCCAGCCTCTATAGTAGGAGGAACGGAGCAGGTACGTGCTACAGAGATGTGCATTGCATAGTACCGAGCTTATTGGTTAGTCCCGGATCAAAGGTGTTTCTTGAACCCGAAGTTTGCGAGAGACTAGACAAGCTGTTGGCATATCTAGAATCACAGAACGGAGTCTGTGGAAGTGGAACAATGCTAATATTGGGCGACTCAGTGTTGTACTCACGCTTTGGATTACAGGAGACGCGAATGGTATAACGTGACAACTTCGAGGTTTTTTTTCGCTCGCGATCTCATCACGACATTCATTCACATGATAGATTCTCAAGTATCACAAGGCTCGACCATTGGGCACAACTTCAGTCCGTTTCACGCCAGTCTTTTGTTACAACTCGTGGAGGAATTTGTATACCGTCCGAATTGGAAACTATGTCTTGGTGGTTTTGACTTATATCGACAAGGCATTTGCACCACTGGAACGTAAAATCGCACAGTTTCGTATTGCCTTTACCCAATCACGTTTAGAGATTCCGATAGAGGTACTTATACATTTTGGGCAGGTTGTTTTGCTGATGACTAACGCTTGGAATACTACTTCTACACAGGAACCACCGATTCTGTTAAGAATGTATGCCAAACGAGAGACACTGGCTATGCTGTATCATAACATCAAGACGGGAACATCCATCTTTCCCCAGTTACGGCCAGGACCTGAAGTTCAGCAAAAGGAGATTATGAATTCATTCTGGACGTTCTTTTCTGAAGCTGTGTATGTAACATGAAATCCTGAGTTGTGCTTGTGGCAATCTGCTATTTAACTTACTCCTCGTTTTTGCTCAGGTCTAATTTGAGTGTGGCTGGAGTAACTGAATGGTCGATATCTCGAGACCAATATCGATTCTATGCTCGATCCGAAGGTACTGTGAACGAGCGTCCCTTTGTTGACCAAGGGCGTCTTTCCAGTTGAACTAACACTTTGATGACTTGAGCAGGTATTCACAAGCTCTATGTGCTGTACGTGTGACGTTGCTTATATACGCAATCTAAGCGAGATGGTAGCACCATTCTAACTGCTCCACGTTTAGGTTCACGGCTGAATCCATGTCTGCACCATCAGCCAATGTAGCGAGCGAAATACTTCAATCTATATTGCAGCATCGACAACTTCACTAGAGATATAGTTCTTAAGATTACATTGTTGCTTGGGGGTTCTCTAATATAGTGAAGAGAGACTTTAGTGAAGAGAGGTTGTAGGGTCAAGAATACGATTTGTTGGTGCAAATGTTGTGGCATTGATACCACAGATCAAACAACTACATACCCATTTATTGTTCAGCAGCAGCCAGCCGCATCATCCTTCTCTTGACCAGCTTATCTCGTTCAAATTCCAGTTTGTCTAGTTGACTTCTTTCAAAATTGTGCACAAGGACACCCAATCCGGCAAATGCAGCAAAGAAGAGAGCATGTATATGTGGCCCTATCATAAACGAATCGTAAGCACGTCTGATGAGTGATGGAATGCATGTGTATCCTCTTACTGGAAGATATTGGACGTCCTTGTAATCCTAACGCCCAAATTCTAACAAAGACACCGGCAGCTCCGAAACCGGTTGCGACGTAGATGGCTTGAGGCGATGTGCCTCCTAGCTTTTGAGCTTCTCTGCTTGTTGATAATAGTGACATTTTACTGTATGCTTGATTGTGTTGTTGAAGTTTGAAGTCAACGAAACGGCAAGATACCAGCACCAAACTCTCTTCAACTGTGAAAGTAAACCGATAGCAAGGTGCCAACTTTCAAAAGTATCAATACAATTATAAAACGTACAACTGAACGCGTCTCTTAATCGTAAAAATGTGGTTGTAACTTTGAAGACAGCTCACACCGTCTGAAAATCACAGTCGAAGATAAGACACGGCTAAATGGCTTCAAATATCTTCCAAAAATCGTTGATGTGTTATGAATTGGCTGTTCATAGACCCAAAAACCTGTAGGCGCATTGGACCCTTCTTCTTACACGAACGATTGGTAGGGTGTTTATGTAATAATTACGTTTGCTAGGACTGTTTGCCTAACCCCGAATCTCAGAAGTACAGAAAGCTCTCGCTCTAACGATTCCAAAATCCCCCTCTCACAAAATCCAAAAACACTGCAATCCGACGAAAGAGATTACAAACACCTATTAGATCATTCATTATACGATTCAAGGTATGTTATAACACGGAATGACCTTATCTAGCTTCACCACCGTTCTCAGCTAGCTCATTTCTTGACTAGATTCGTCCGTTGGTTGCTTTTTCAGCTGTAAGCACTCTCTGAGTGCAAGAAGAGATCATCATGACGGTAAGTTCACTGCATCATTTACAACATTAAGCTTTGATTGTCTTGTATTAGTCTTCTTCTCACTCTTTACCATACACATTCTTCAAAATAGTCGATCGTGCAAACGGAATGTGAGATTTTCGGATTCCAAGCTCAAGAAGACTACTTTGCAAGACGACTGACAAGATACTCATCTTTTCTTTACATTACTTTTAGTATATGCTGCACGGCTCAGTGATCCAGCACTGGGTAAGTGAACCAAAAACCAGCATCCTGTTGTTGAAACTCGCTTGAACGTACTTTGTGATCTCATCTCTACTTTTCTCAGGCTGGGATATCAAGCAAAAGATTGTCACGGAAATGAGAGAAGCTCTGGAAATCCTGCAAGGTCCCGATTATCCTCGCTACTTGGCTGCTATGATGCCTACATTCTTGAACTTACTCAACGATATGAACCCTGTCTTTATTAGCAATTCACCTGAACATGTATGTGCTGTGTTCATCGCGTTGCTGTATCTGTGCGTTCTTTCGTCGTGTGTGCGTGTTGTGTACTGAACTTTCTATTCCTTTGTCCTGATAGAGATTCCGAAATGTAATTTTAGAAATCATCAACCGCTTCCCCCAAAACGACCACCTCAAACCATATGCACCCAATCTCATGAAAACTCTCATGCATTTGCTTCGCGTCGATAACGAAGAAAATGCCGTCGTATGTGTAAAAATTATTATCGACCTGCACAAGTCCTTCAAATCTGCATTGGAAGATCAGGTCCAGGACTTCTTCTCTATCGTGCAAGATATGTATCGTAACATGGAGCAGGCTGTCAAGGAGACTTTTGATGATCCAGCTGCTGCTGCTGCTACGGTATGGAAGAAAAAGCCCAATAGTTATCCGCGCAAGTTAATGTAGTAACTCACATTCGTTCCAACGTCGTTAGCCTGGGCTTCCACAACCAGTATCACCAGCACCTGGTGAAGCTGCAGAAGGATCTGCTCGTATCTTGCCAAGAAGTATGTTCAGCTTTAAAGTGCTGACAGAATGTCCAATCATTCTTGCTCTGCTCTTTCAAGTACACAAGAAGTTTGTCCAATCTAGTGTACCAGCGTTTGTGCCACTCATCATATTGGTATCTTTGGGAATTTAGATGTTTTTTTTCGCCACGTTTTGTCTAACATCAATTGCTTCACAGGTCTTGTCCTTGCAACCGGAAGCTCAAAGACAAGCTCATGCAGAAGCTGCTGCAAATGGAACAGGACCATTTTGTGGTATCAGTCCCAATATTCGTGATAAAGTTGCTTATGGCGAATTCAAGGCATTGCAAGTTAAGGTGTGCTATATGTATATCTTTCTCTATTTTTTTGCGGTTATGGCTGACCAGTCTCTTTCGGCAGACAATCTCTTTCATTGCCTATATCTTGCGAAGCTTCATCCATATCTTACGAGAGCATCAACGAGCCATTGCTGAATCTGTCGTCGGCTTGCTCAAAGACTGTCCTCCTGATGCTTCTGCTACTCGGAAGGTATTGAAACATGAGCAAAAGCGACTTTCTCTTTTCGCTAACAATTGATCCCCTGAACTTTACAGGAGTTACTCGTCGCAGCAAGGCACCTTTGGAGCACTGACTTCAGGGAACCTTACATTCAGTACATCGATGTGTTGCTAAATGAAGAGGTCTTGGTTGGATCTGGAGTGACTTGTCGTGAGACTTTGAGGTACAATGTCAATACACGTTACTCATCGAGCTTATTATTTTTTCAACTCTCATTGTCGATTAGGCCTCTGGCTCATAACGTCTTGGTTGATTTGATTCACCATATTCGAGCTCAATTATCACCAACACAATTGGCTCGTACCATTGAAGTGTACTCTCGCAATCTGCAAGACCCCACATTTGGAACCAACATTCAAACCATGTGTGCGAGGCTCTTGTTGAATTTGATTGAAAGTATTTGTGGCATACCAGATAAAGCACAAGGTAAACACTCAACAGGTGCAATCACCATAAGTAAATAGTAAGCGATTTTTTTCGCAATGTGTCTCACCTCTCTTAATTTTAAGGCCGAATGTTGCTGATTCGAATTCTGGATGCCTTCACATCCAAGTTTTCGTCTTTAGCCGCAAGCTTGCCAATGATTTGCAAGTACATTCAACGCAAAAAATTGCAAGCTGGACGAATTGTACCAGAAGACTTTGCTGGTATTCCGGATCTAGATGGCTTTCTTGATCTGGGCTATGCTCAACCTATTCGCACCTCTCTCAAGTCTTTGGATGTTTCACAAGACATTGTCAAAGGTAAACCACCGGTCTTATCTGTTTGGCATGTTGATGAAACTGAATTGAATACTGTATTAGAGGTGCGATTACTCTTCAAGAGTTTGGTTTCTGGAGTCAAGAATATTCTGGGATCGTTAAGACTAGTAAATGTGCCACCTCCAGTTGGTATAGAACCAGACCAATGGAATTCATTCCCTCGAGGATTTAGCGAAGAGGAAGTCGAAATTCTCATTCGCCTAACTCGCGACGGCTTGAAATGCTTTGACATATACTTTATCGATAATCTTGGTCCTGATGGAGTCCCAGTAAGACCCAATGATAGAGCCGCATCCGCCTCAACGCTAGGATCCAAAGAAGAAAAGGAAGTGCTGGAAATATTCGCTTCCATATTCACATATGTAGATCCAGCAGTATTCCAGGATATATTCACTACAGAAATTGGATACCTGTTTGACCAAATATTGACCAACATGTCTATCTTGGCAGTGCCTCAATATTTCTTGGCCAATGCTTCGGTGTCGTCCAACTTTGCTGGTCTCTTGTTGAGATTCTTGGTTGATCGATTACCTAAATTGGGAGGTCCAGATCTCAATTGCTCGGCTGTAATACTTCGTCTCTTCAAGTTACTGTTTATGGCAGTGACTCTCTTTCCCGATAAAAACGAGACAGTACTCAAACCTCATTTGGGTAATATTATAATGAACTCTATGAAGCTATCAGCCAAAGCCAAAGAACCTCTCAACTACTTCTTGTTGTTGAGGGCTCTCTTCCGTAGTATCGGTGGTGGCCGATTCGAATTATTATATCAAGAAGTCTTGCCCTTGTTGCAGGTATTACTTGAAGGATTAAATGGCTTGCTATCTACAGCATATAAGACTCAGATGAAGGAGCTATTTGTCGAACTGTGCTTGACCGTGCCAGTTCGACTATCTGTATTACTTCCATATCTATCCTTCTTGATGAAACCATTGGTATTGGCTTTGCAAGCTGGTCCCGAACTGGTTAGTCAAGGTCTACGTACTCTTGAGCTCTGTATAGATAATCTGACTCAAGAGTTCTTGGAACCCATCATGAGTCCAGTCATTGATGATCTCATGACGGCATTATGGAAACATCTACGTCCACTGCCTTACAACCAAGTACATAGTCACTCAACCATGAGAATCTTGGGCAAACTCGGTGGTCGTAATCGTCGATTGCTAAAAGACCCAGTCTTGAGCTATAAAATAAATGCAGAGAATGGTCTTGATATGAATCTTCTCTTCCATGGCAGTGATAAATCACAGGTTATGCCGCTTGATATATGCCTCAATCTCGTAAACCGTATTCTTGACACTCAGGCGGTACCGATCTTTTACAAGGAGCAAGCCTTGGCCTTTGCTAAGGGTTGTCTGCCACTCCTGATTGAACTAGAAGAAGGCAATGTCGATATTGATGCCGCTCTTCAACTTCAAATTCAAAAGTATTTAGCAGATCGAGTCAGTCTAGTCATGAAACCAGGACATAATGAACCTAGCCAAAAGTCTGCAGATGGGACATTTGGTATGGATGTTGACGAGCAACGCAGTCCATTGGGATTTTTCCAAATTTTGGATAAGCATACTAGTAATGTATTGGCCATCGTCGCAGCCTATCTACAACCTGTTGGTCTACGAGACCTGTCATATTCTAGCAAAGCAATTCGAAAGATCTTGATGGATCACCCGACATTGCGAAACCGACCAGAAATGGGACGACGTCTCAATCCAATGGGTGCCACGTCTAATGATCCGAATGCACCATTCGGAGACTTGCCACCTCCTGTAGCACCCAATAAAAAAGCTATGCACGCTCTCGCTATCAGACAAGTATTCTCAGCACTCCTGTCTGCATGTATGGTTACTGAACTTGCAGATCCAGCATGGAAGATTGTAGAAGATTGTTGCCGTCACTTTGCCTTGTTGGCTGTAACGGAAACGATTCAAGCACCCGTACCAGACCCTCCAAAACCAGGAATATCTAGTACGTCTATAGCTGCTCTGATGTTGCAACCACCATTAAGAGTCGATGCCTTCATTGACGCTGTAGTAGATATCATATCAGCTGAAGACGCTGCTCGAAGGCAATTCGGTGCCAAGGTCTTGACATGTATGTTCAATATGTGTGTGACAATTATGGGATCCAAGGACGCTGTCGAATCCTTATCCATCTTCCGCACCTTTGCATCACGATTTTGTTCGTGTTGCTACCAGATTGAATGGTTTAAAAAGAGTGGTGGATGTCTTGGTATTACCGTATTGAGCTCGCAATTGGACTTGAGTACGCAATGGGTACTGGACCATGAGCTTGACTTTGTACGAGCCTTGTTGTATGTACTCAAAGATACATCTCCCGAAATGGCACCCAATAATGTGGAGGATGCTACTCACACCTTGTCGGAAGTGCTAAAAGTATGTAATAGGCCACCATTGAGTCCTGAAGCTCAAACCAAACTGCATAGTCTTACCGCAGTCTTAATGGAACAGCTATGTAATGCCAACAGCGCTGTTCGTGAAGCCATACAATCAGCCTTCCAACTATTGAATGTCTTGACTGGTACGGCCATCTCGGAAATGCTACAAGGTGTAAAAGACCGATTATTAGTACCAATCTTCTCGAAACCATTACGAGCACTTCCATTCTCCATGCAAATCGGTAATATTGATGCCATAACGTATTGTCTTGGTCTTCGTCCACCATTCTTGCCTTTTGGTGATGAGTTATTACGACTATTGCATGAAGCTCTGGCTCTAGCAGATGCTGAAGATCAGGCATTAGTTGGTAAAGGACCGCAAATGAGGAACGCTGCTTCCTTGACTAGTCTACGAGTCGTATGTATAAAGTTGCTCACGACTGCTATGGCTTGTGAAGAATTCAACAACCAGCCTCGTAATTCCAATACTAAAGGTCGTATCATCGCCATGTTTTTCAAGTCCTTGTATTCAAAGTCACCAGAGATTGTAGAGGTTGCTAATCGAGGTCTCTCGCAAGTCTTGACTGCTCAAAGTAAATTGCCAAAGGATTTGCTACAAGCAGGGTTACGACCTATATTAGTGAACTTGTCAGATCATAAACGTCTCACTGTAACAGGTCTCGAAGGTCTAGCCAGGCTATTGGAATTGTTGACCAACTACTTCAAGGTCGAAATTGGTAAAAAGTTGTTAGACCATCTCAAATTATGGGCTGACAAGAACTTGCTGGAAGACGCAGCTGGTAAACCATTATCCGAAATCGAAGAGATGAAGGTTATAGTAGCAATTCTCGATGTCTTTTATCTCTTGCCACAAGCAGCCAATATCTTTTTGGATGAGTTGGTACAAACCATTCTCGAACTCGAAACGGTATTGAGACGCTCATACTCCAGTCCATTCCGCAATCCACTTATAAAATTCCTAAACCGATATGCTGCTGAATCGGTCGACTACTTTTATGAACGTATGCTACAGCCACCGTATCTCAAACTCTTTGTATCTTTGTTGAGGTCAGAGTATGCTGTGCCACTACGAGCAGAGATCATGAAGGATACGGAAAAATTCATGGCCAAGACTTTATTGGTCGGTGCCGAAGATGCTAATAAGAACGAGTTAGCGTTCTTTGGTGTACTCATCATACGTGAGATTATAAGGTTCCATCCGGAATGGCTCCTCCAAGGCAATGATATTGTTAAAGTCTTGATGGAGATGCATCGAGAATGTATGGGTGGACCTGTTGTTGATGAAGGAGTTGGATTTGCTCAGTCCAAGGAAACCATGTATATAACTGAGGTAGATCTCGTTCTTCTGGCGTGCTTCTGTCGAAAAGTTCAGCATTAACATTCATCCTTTCCTTTGTAGATTTTGATTGTATACTGTAAAAAAGAATCCAAGGATGTCGATACAGTCTTGGAGTTGGCTCGTGGATTCCTCTATGCGGGTTTCATTGATCACGGCTTCTTGAAGCAATTCTATTACAATGAAGTCGTAATGGGATATACTGGTCGTCAGAAGAGAGCTGTCTTGGACCGCTTCTTTGGTATATTAGGTGATGCCACAATTCCAAGAGAACTCAAAGCCACCATACTCCGAATGATTATCATCCCTATGCTCTTGGTCTCCTTACAAAAAGGTCAAGAAACTGTAGATCATCAAGTCATCGAAACGCTCAATAGGCTAGTTTGGCTTGAAAGCAATGCAGGCCCCGATGACATGCTCAAAGTAGAATTACTTCAACTGACTACCTTGTTGATTCAATTTGTGCCAACTTTAATGGAGAGTGGACGCAAAGAAGTCATCAAGTGGGCTTGGGGTCAAATCAAGTCAGAAGAAGTGACTTGTAAAAACGCACCATACGTCTTGATTGCCCGCTTCTTGTCTAAATTCGAAGCGCCTCTCAAGATTGTCCGACTCACATATTATTATTTGCTACGAAGTCATGCATCTGAGGCTCGTATCTTGACTCGACAAGCGTTGGATATATTGATCGATGTGGTTGGTCAACGAATGCAAGATGACACGGAGAGTAAAGGAGGATCTTCCAAATCATCTGTACCGACTTGGGTCCGATATATTCGAAAAGCGATTGTCGATGAATCGCATAGTATACCGCATCTTATAGTAGTATATCAGTTGCTCATCCGCCACGCCGAACTCTTCCATGATGCCAAGGATTTCTTTATGGCTCAAATCGCCCAATCCTTGAATCGTCTTGGATTGTCTACGAATGCTACTCCCGAGACTCGTGCACTAACTGTAGAATTGTGTGAGTTGATATTGAAGTGGGAAGTACATCGAAATGAGCAAAAGCGTGTATCGGTGAGCTCTACTCCAGCTGCCACGTCTGAACCTGTATCGCAGCCACTTAAGCGAGCAGCACCCGATAATGAACTAGCAGGTGGGGCATCTAAACGTCTCAAAGAAGAATCTGGCGGACATCCCGTCACGTCCAATGGAGATAGTATAGAAGGAGCTGAACATGCAGAGTCTGCACCGATCAATGACACTCTTCGTCATCGAGAAACGTTGATTAGTTACATCATTCGTTTCATGTCGTCTTGTGCCGATTTGCCACGGCCAAGAGGCGTTCCACAACGGGTACTTGATGTCGCTCGTGGTTTACTACAGCTATGGCCAGACTCTGCTATCAAGTTGGGACACTTTGAAAAGGCTCTAGACGTTGCCGAGAGCAATGTCAACGCTGTTTGTAATGCTCTAGACTTGATGAACGTGATTTGTGAATCTCGACCAACTGACTGGATTGTATCCAACTTGTCCCAACTTCACAAGTGTGTAGAAGTATGGATACGATCTAATAATCCACGAGTAGTAAGAGGCCTACATCCAGTCTTGGTTCGTATCTTTACCGGCATAGCTTCAGTAGAAAATCAGGAAAATCAAAACTCGACCGATATTCGAGCATTTGTACAGCTGGTTGATGCCGTAATTGCAGACGGCTTGAAGGAGATGACAAATCTTCATAGTATAGTATGCTTATTGGTTGCAGGTTATACTCACAAGACGGAAGCTTTGGATCCCATGTTGCCAGATCTCATTAAGCTCTTGTCGAAACTGGAAAAGGCTCATACAGCTCCTCCACCTCCCCCACCACCTCCACCACCAGCTGGAGTACCTCAACCGCCAGCTGCACCACCACCAGAGCCTCCTGCAAATCTTATAATTATGCTGCTTCCATTGCTAAAGACACGAGTTGGTGTGATGACGGACCCACGTAAAGGATTCTTGTATGCACTTATAGCCTTGATTGATAAATCTTCAGATCTGGATGTCTTGCGAACCATTCTTGGGATGGTGCGAGAGTGGGTGATGAAAAAGTCTACTGAAACCTTCCCAACAATGAAGGAAAATGCTGCCTTGCTAGTTAAAATGATGACTTTCGAGATGCGATCAGATAAAAAGTTACTTGAAGAGTACTTGACTCTGGTTGCTGATATATATACAGATAAGCACTTTGGCCGATCAGAATTGACTGCAAGGCTAGAACAGGCCTTCTTGACTGGCACTAAAGCCGAGAATCCACTACTACGACAGCGATTCTCCGAAATCTTCAATAATAGTGTCAAGAATACGTTGCCAGCTCGAATGTTATATGTCCTTGGAGTCCAAAACTGGGAACACTTGTCTTCATCGTTTTGGCTTCGTCAAGCTCTGGATTTATTGATGGGAGCTGTTGTCACTGGGGAAGCAGTACACACTTCCGCTGCCGGATATCGAACTCCATCGTTACCATCACTCATCAACACCACGATGATTGTAGAAGCAGAAGTACCCGAATCCTTGACCGCCATATTAGCCAGTGATCGTATCTTTATGAAGGACTTGCAATCAGTCCAAGTTGGCTCGTTATTAGCACCATTAAGGCATATGATTCATATGGATCCTAATGTCACGTATGATGTCTGGATCAATCTCTTCCCGCTTTGTTGGAATGTCTTGAATGCACAGGAACGTCACGACGTAGTCAAGGCTATTGTACCTCTGCTTGCCAAGGACTACCATGGGAAACAAATGGAATCTAGACCTAATGTGGTACAAGCTTTGTTGGAAGGTGTTTGTAGAGTAAGTGTCTGGTTGACCTCCCAAAAAGAGCGTGGCATTTTTCCATCAACCGCTCCTTGTGCTAACATGTTTTCGTTTCTAGTGCACACCACCAATGCGATTACCGCCTCAACTCGTCAAGTATATAGGTAAATCTTATAACGCATGGCATATTGCTATTGAGCTCTTGCAAACCTCAGTCTTGGAGATCCGTCTCAATAATCAGCCAACCAGTAAAGAAGACGACCGCCTCCGTGAGAGTATATATGATGCGCTTACAGATATGTTTACAAGTTTGTCTGAAGATGACTTGTTTTTCGGTCTATGGCGTCGTCGATGCCTCTACTCGGAAACCAATGCTGCCTTGTCCTATGAGCAGAATGGTATGTGGGCACAAGCTCAAAAGCTATATGAGCAAGCACAAGCTCGGGCACGTCAAGGATTGATGCCCTTTACAGAAGCAGAATATAATCTGTGGGAAGAACGATGGGTATCATGTGCAGAACGTCTTCAGCAATGGAATGTATTAGTAGACTTGGCCAAGCACGAGTCTCTCCCTGATTTGATGCTGGAATCCGCCTGGAGATTCTCGGATTGGTCTGCAGAACGTCAACAACTCTCCGCGTATCTTCCAGCATTGCTTGATCAACCAACACCACGTCGTAAAGTATTTGAAGCGTTTTTATCTTTAACACGTCTGTCTGAAGGAGTAGACCGTCAACAAGAGTTTAGTAAAGCATGTGACGAAGGTGCTCAATTATCTTTACGTAAATGGTATGCCTTGCCAGAACATGTATCAAATGCCCACATTCCACTCTTGCATACCTTCCAGCAATTGGTTGAGTTGCAAGAAGCACTACAGATCCACACCAATTTGTCTGCCACCATGGCTAACAATATAGAACAAAAGTCACAGGAATTGAAGGGTATCTTACAAACTTGGCGAGAACGATTACCAAACTTGTGGGATGATATAAGTATCTGGAGTGATCTCAATGCATGGCGTCAACATGTATTCTCAACTATCAACGATGCCTATAAACCACTCATTCCATTATTATCACAAGCTGGACCAAACTCGCAGAGCTCATATGCCTTCCGTGGATATCACGAAACTGCTTGGATCATTAACAGGTTTGCTCATGTAGCTCGAAAATGTGCTCTAGTAGACGTATGTAACAACGCATTGAGTAAGATCTACACGTTGCCGAATATTGAAATCCAGGAAGCCTTTTATAAGCTTCGCGAGCAGGCTAAATGCCACTTGCAAAGCATCACCGAGTACTCTACTGGACTGGAAGTCATCAATAACACCAACCTCATGTATTTCTCTACTCAGCAGAAGGCCGAATTCTTTACATTGAAGGGTGTATTTTTGGGTAAACTCAATCTACATGATGAAGCTGCATCCGTGTTCGCTTCAGCTGTGCAGATAGACTTGAGTCATCCCAAAGCATGGGCCGCTTGGGGCCAATATAGTGATCGTATGTTTAAGGAACAGCCCAAGGAAATCAAATATGGCAGACACGCCATCAATTGTTATTTGCAAGCAGCAGGCATTTATAATAGCGCTCGCTCTCGTAAATACTTGGCTCGTATCTTGTGGTTGTTGAGTGTTGATGATGCTCAAGGCAGCATTTATCAAGCATATGATACGTATAAGGGTGACGTGCCACTTTGGTATTGGATTACGTTTGTGCCACAATTGCTCTTGTCGTTGGCTAGTAGAGAACCTAGGCCGGCAAGAATGATATTGATAAAGTTGGCTCGATCATTCCCACAGGTATGTCTGAAGCAATGTGTGGTCTTTTCTTTTTGGCAATTTCTCACTTTGATGGGTTTTGTTTTTCAAAAGGCACTGCACTTCCATCTTCGCACGACAAAGGAAGATTATATGCTGATGAAGAAGCAAACCCAGCAACAGCAGGCCCAAAGACCTCCGGAAGCTGCACCAGCTGCACCGCAACTAGGTGAAGGTGGACAGCCAGAAGGCGAAGCTCAACCTGTCGATCCAAACGCCATGCAAATAGCGCAACAACCAAATCCACAAGCTGCTCCACAAGTTCAAGTCAAGAAGCATCCATGGGAATATATTGAAGAATTGATGGCGTTACTCAAGACTGCGTTCCCACTATTGGCCCTTACTATGGAGACATTGGTAGAACAAATCTTGCAACGTCTCAAGCCATCTGCCGATGAGGATATTTATCGCTTAATTGTGGCATTGCTTGGTGATGGTGTTACGGTACGCTTCATTTTCCACCTATACCAGTTCCAAGGGCTAACACCAGTCGCTTGTTTTTCTAGCAACTTGCTCGAGATCCTGGTGATATTGGAGCATTGTCACAGGCTACAGAAGTCAATTTACGTCGCTTTGCAGACAGCATGTATCCAAACCATGTGAAGGTAAAGCCGAATTGCATTTGGCGTCTGTAAGAAACAGATTTAATGACTGCGCCCCATTCTGCTTAGTACAAGGGACCATTCGAACGCGACTTTATCCTTTGCAAACCGACATTACCTCAATTGGTGGAGAACTTCCGCAATTGGCGTGACAAATTGGAAGCTCTTCTTGACAGTCGACCAAAGAAACAGAATCTCGAGCATTTCAGCGTTCATCTCGTCGAGTTTGAGTATCAAAAGTATGATGACATTGAAATCCCTGGTCAATACTTACTCGTAAGTACCTAGTTGACTTTGTTTTTCAAATTTCTTTTCTAAACATTGATTCTATGCACTTGCAGATGAAGGACAATAACAAGGACTTTGTCCGTATTGAACGCTTCCAACCTGTGATTGATATTGTACGAGGACATTTCAGCTGTCATCGTCGAATCACTATCAAAGGAACAGACGGCACCTTGTATCCTTTTGCAGTTCAACATCCTGCTGCTCGAACCTGTCGACGAGAAGAACGTATCATGCAACTCTTCCGTATCTTGAATAGCGTTCTTGAACGTAAACAAGATACTCGAAGACGTGGATTGTCCTTTCATTTGCCGTTAGTTGTGCCACTTGCTCCTCAAGTCCGTCTCTTCCAGGATGATACGAGTTACATGTCTCTGCAAGATATCTATGAAGATCATTGCTCTCGATGTAAGAGAATATATATATGTTTATCGCAATTTTGGTTTCTTTGCACTTTGGTATCGCATTGATTCTCACCTTTCTTTATCTTCTTCAGTGGGGCAACACAAGGATGAACCAATAATGTATTATATCAATCGCATGCGAGAAATTCATCAGAATGAGGATATGAGCAAAGCAGGGGTAAGTGACAGTTGCAAGCATCTTGACGGCATATCAGACACTTGACATTATTTTGCGATTCATAGAAGGTGGCATTTGTGAACCTCAAGACTGAAATCATGGAAGACATTGCAGCGAAGTTTGTCCCAGACACTATTCTCACCAAAGTAAGCTGTTGTCGCCTTTTGAATGAGATTTTCTGATCAATTTTCAAGTAAATCAGAAGAAATGATGATTTCGAACTGATTCTGTTTTTCTTTCTTCTCAGTTCATGACTCGATCATTGGATTCGTACTCGGATCTCTTTGAAATGAGAAAGCACTTCTGTGGTCAAATGGCTGCCGTCACATTTATGACATATCTGTTATCCATCAATCAACGAGTTCCACAAAAGTTCTTCATCTCTGGTAAAACAGGAAACATCTGGTCGTCTGAGCTGCTTCCCAGTAAGTGCAACTTTGTAGATTTCCCCATAAGATTTGTTTTTGCATTTTTACTGACGCAACAAGAATACTTATTCCAACCAATTTTTTCCCTTCTCAATCACAGCATTATCGCCACCGCCTCATGTCGTATTCACAAACTCGGAAGCAGTCCCCTTCCGCTTCACACCCAATCTCCAGCACTTTATGACTCCCATCGGCATAGAAGGTGTCTTTACGAGTTCCTTGATGGCAATAGCCAAGTCATTGACGGAACCCGAATTTGAAATGGATGATTATTTGAGTCTGTTTGTACGAGATGAAGTAGTACAATTCCTACAAATGGGTCGCAAACCACCATTCACTGAACAGCAGTTGCGTGATGTGGTCGCCACGAATGTAGAGCTTGTTATGAAGAGGGCCAATTCGTTGTGCTGTAAAGCTGAACGTGAAAAGGTAAGCAAGCTTGTAAGATGGTGACTCTTTCATTGTTCTGTGGGTTTTTGGTCGAATTCAAGTCTTAATTTGCTCTTGCTTTTAAGGGTGCTGCAACTACAGTTCCAGCTACTCAGACTGTATTGGATATGTGCTCTACTGCATCCAATCCAAACAGACTTGCTCAGATGGACTTGTCGTGGATGTCCCAACTCTGACAAAAATGCAATCAAATAACATTCATGTATAAAATCAAAAGTTTGTCCTCTATTGAGCTTGTTTTCAGTATATAAAAGTATGAATTTGCTGACGTGTAAACAAGGAGTGAAGTTTTATCAAATCCGAAAAACCAAGTTAACGAAAGGCAGAGGAGCGAGAGTACGGAGCTACTACTCCACCTACTTCGAAGTTACTACATCAGCTGTGGGCACTCTTATCTTTGAAAAAACAACAATAACAAAAAGGATTGTGTATCATGAAGGGTATTGCGTGACAACTTGTCCGTCGTCGTCGTTTGGGTGATCCTATTTGGGGTCTATGAATGTAGAGGTGCCGCTCTTGGTGTAGATTTTTGCTATAAATCGCTTTAATATACGTTTTTTGCATCACGAAAGAAAAAGAACACAACCACCTTGTGGGAGAGCCAGGACTTGAAACGGTGACCGCGTCGCACGGGCGCGTCAAGTATAGATATACAGACAATCTACCTCCCCCAAACGCACCGGAGTATTGCTAAGTGCTTAGCCATGGAGCTATGCAACGAGTTCGTTTAGAACTGAATATGTGGAATGCTAGGTGCATTATCACCGTGAGCGGATTTTGAAAAATAGTGAATAAATCCACAACATCTCAGATTATCGACGCTGGACACTGCCCATCACAGCTGAACACCACTGATCTGATTAAAGCTGTCACCACCTGTGCTGATAAAGTTGGCAATTTTCAGCAGATGGTTGCTTGGTCGTCCCTTTGCGAACGAATGCAACATCAAGACAAACGACATCGTGGCTTACCACCATTTGTCACTAAATCCGAATGCTCTGCCGCCTGAGCATCGAGCGTTTTGCGACTCGTGGGACTCCTGCTCATTTTGAAAATTAAATTGCAATTTCGAATGCCGCAGGTCAAAAGTCCTGCCTCTCTGGATAGGCAAAAACAGTCTATTGTATTATTCTAATACTTCAATCATTACTCTCTACTTCGAGTCTTGCTCTCAAATCAATCTGACTTTGAGACTTGGCAAACATTTGCATGCTGCACCCTTTTTGCTTCGGGATTTTGACAAGATACTCAAGTATCTTTACGTGAATGTCGGTATGTCGTCAGCGGCCAAGTGATCTAGAATGTGGTTAGCGTGCATTGACGAAAGAGAAACATGTTGCTGACCTTGATGATCTCCCTCCTTCTTTGATTCACGTTGAACTATCGAGATAGTGGAGATTAAGCTTGATTTAGCACAAGTGGTCCGTCTCTGTCCTCCTTTTTGCTGTCGAAATTCCTCAAAAAAGAAGCATTCAGCTTTACAATGTCTCTAACATGACTCTATAGATTTCTATTATAGAATGCACGTTTACGAGACTCCTTGGGCAAGGCATTCCGTACCAAGAACAGAAGGAGACAGCTTCAATCACGAGACGAGAGCGAGATTGATGTCGGTCAAGATTTGAAGTGCTCTGTCTTGAAGAGTATGAATGATGCTATTGCTAGACCTAATCAAACTTCGCTGCCCGCTGCAGATATTGCTTTTTGTTCTCTTTCGACGCCAAAAATATCAACAAATCTATTTGCCGTCTAGACAAAATGGTATCAGACTGTGTAAACCCATTTTACAACCCTGCCACAACACAAGTGGAAGATGTGTACCGCCTCGAGAAGACAATCCCAACACACGAGCTCTCATTCGTTAACCTGAGGCCCTCCTCAAAATCACAAATCATGAAGAAACCGAAGACCACCCTTCCGAAGCGATGGCACCACCATGGGTAACTCACCACATCCGTAGAGTTTCGATGGCTGCTGCTACATATTTAGTGAAGCGAAATTGAATTAGTGATCCTCCATGTTGTAATGATCATTAGACAATCCCGATTGTTTGCGGAATAGTTGAAGCAACTCTCTTTGAAGAGGTATATGTTGCATTGTTGACTTTTGGTTACATCGCAAGTTTCTTCTTTATTGACTTCCAATTGCGTGTATTTGACAACTTTTGTCGTTTGTTTTAGGGAGATCTCGACTCAATATCAAAAGTTGTTAATAGCTTCCCTCGCAACTACCACGTAGCACCCATGCTCTTGGTTTCATGAAGGTCCTCATGAACTTAGTACGAGTGGGTAACATATAATAACGGCTTCGTTGTGCGTGAAAACATTCTCGACTTTTGTAAATTCTCCTTCGGCCCATGGAAGATCAAGACAAGACCGTTTCAGTATATTCCGACATATCTATCGTTTTCTGGAGCAGCCCCCTACGGAGACCTTTGGTGATTCGGATGCAACTGCTGGTACGAAGCAAATTGCTGAACAAATTCCTCCAAAGGTAGCAGAGTTAGTATATTCTCGTATTCTATTCTCACGTCGTTAGTCCAGCCATCCACCACAATTATCTCCAAGACTTGGTACAACTTTAGCTGAGGTGCCGGCAAGCCTGGAGATATCTCATCATTTGCTTCGTTGTCTGCCTTTTTTTCCTTCGCAAATGTTGACATGACCCTCCAGTGAAAATGGCTAGTCGACATGGTCCAACAATTTGAGCTCATTCTGTCGGCACTGGACAGTCTATTTGTACTCTTGGAGTGTAGTCTCTCACCAGCTGCATGTGCAAAGCTTCAATTTATGAATGTGTGCCTCTTGTTGTGAATGAGAGCTGTTTGGGAATGCCAGATAAGCCACAGGGTGGAAATTACCCAGACATGCCAAATTTCGGAATTCAGTGGGTTTTGTGTATCTTATATCCCTGTGGTTTTGTTTTTTGTCGCAGGGTTTGTCGAATCGCTGCTTTAAACGGTTTGACTCAATCCAGACATTCCCTTGGAACGTCGTTTCTGCTTGAAGTGAGGAGGTGTCTGTCTTTGTTTGCTCACCACCATGCTCCACCGAAGGACTGGAAACATTTTCGAATAGGTTTTACGGAGTGCAGGATTGCTATGGGTCTGCTTTTACAACAAGTGTCAGGTAGGTGCTTACAGCACCAGCAACAAAAAAACGATAATTTCCATTCATCCCAACCAGTCGGAATTGCAACATCAAGAATTTATGAACTAATCTGATGATAACTTTTGGTAGGAGCTTGAAATGTACGCGTAATGGTAAGCACACGACAAATGGTTGATGAAGCGGTTTGGAGTGTGTGATGGTTTACCACAAGTGTGATTCGATTTCTACAATAAACTCTGGAATGTTTGTTGAGATGATTGCAATTGCTATCCACTATGTTGTGATATGTTGGTTTCTAGTAAAGAGTTGAGATTGGACGTGTCGAATATGTGGTGTTTGGACATCCTTCAGATTTTTTGCGAATACGGCGTGAGAGTTGAGAATTGCCTTCAATCACGCGTGAGTATGATGATAGCGTCATACTTTATTATGTGCAACACGTCAAATGAACCAGTTTTTACTGCAAGCTTGTGTCTCAAACCTCCCCGAAAAATCAACAAACGGCCACTTTCAGTTCACCATCCCAACACAACAGGAATCGACAAGGATGGGGCATGGTAAGCGCCAAAAGACACATAGTGATGATCAAGAGCAGAATGACGGCGATGAAAGCATGGACGACCATTACTCGGCTCCACCATCCTCGTCCGCAGCAAAGGCCTACAAACACACTCTCTCCTCCCGAAACCACACTACTATGCTACCACCTGAACAAAGAAGTCAACCTGATCAGGTCCGCCCTGACATCATATCCTTCAACTTTGGTGCTGCACCGTCGCCCACTCTCCCATCTCATACAACCCAGCCATTTTCATTCTTTTTCAGTACGTATCGTTCATCAAGGAATAGCTGGTCGGATGCACTTGATGTTGATTCGATGCAGGCAATCATGTTGCTGTCTGGTGAAGACCATCAACATGTTCGCCACACTACCATCTCATCATCACCCACAAACTATGCAGAAAAACTGCAACAATCATCAATTGAGGGGAACATGATCAATGAAACTCACTGTGATAATATCAAAATGGGTGGATCACGGCCAACTCAACCACATGGAGAAGTCGTTGAATCAAGAGTGTTCACGGACAGAGGTAAGGACCTGAATCCATTCATTTGCAATTCAAAAGTCTTTCAATCACCATGCTTGCCTTTCTGAATTATTCTCTCGCAATTGTTTGGCTCACATTCGCCACCCTTTTCTCAGAATCTGGAAGTCGTATCAATCAACTGGCATCAGCTTCTGTGGTTGAGAAGTCTGTCAATGGTATGAATGGACAGGGCTTGGATGGTCTTATGCCTACAGAATCAGGAAAGGGTGATCGACTCTATCTTGGTGGCGAGGGCAGAGGTAGATACTTGAATACATTAACGCATTTGACAGGCTTTCAACCATTACATCTGACCTCTTGGATTATTCTTTTGGCTCACAATATTCATTCCTCTTCCAGAGACTTTCGGAAATGAAGATCCATATCTTAGTATTGGTGGTAGGGGGATGGTCGGAGGTGACTACCGACCTTCCCCAGTCAGACGAAGATATTCTGGGGGAGGTAGTTCATGGAGGAATGATGATGGATTTGGTGTCTCTGCAGAACATGAATATAATCGTGGTGGTCAAGGTGGTGAACTCTTTGGTTTTGAAAGTAAATGTCATCAATTCCTCGATGATTGTCGAATCCAAAGTTTGAGTTTCTTGTTACCATGTTGTTAACATCGACGATTTAATAGATACTGACGACTCCTCAATCTATGGAATCAACCAACCCTGGGAGCCATCATATACGAGTGCTTTTCACGATCGTATTGGACAGCCCGTACTGGTCAATCCGTCTTCCTTGTTGAGATTTGGCGGGGTAAGATGTCTCCACGTTTTCACCTCACCTTGCAAACATTCCTTTTTTTGCTATTTTTTGTTTGAACAAAATTGGCCGACTTCTCACCTCATTTCAAATCAGCTTCCTGAAGAGACAGCTGCTGCCAGGCAACCTTCACAACCATCATCAGTAAGTTCCTTCCTGTTTACAGTTGATTTTCGTCCTTGTTAGAAGATGTGAGTTGGTGTTTTAGTTGCTGACATGTCATTCATCTCCAGATTCACACCAGCAGTATGGACAAACTGATAGTGAAGGTTGATCAAATGTCGGTACAAATGAATTATTTGAGTGCAAGAGAAGTGTCGCGAGAATGTGTCAAGGATACGTCGACGTAAGTGTTGCAAATCGCTTGACTTGATGACGACTTGATGTGTCATTTTGCAAAATCGAGCGTTTTGGCTACTTGTACATATGCAGTTGCTCATCACTACTCCCAATTAGGTACTGGTATAGGCTTGTGAATGCTATTGGAGAACGCATCACTCTGAAAGACTGGACAGATCTCTCAAAGAAAATCCCACTCTTTGTCTACAAGACATTTGACATGGGCCTTCTCGGGTGTCGAGTTGCCGAAATCTATTTGCAATTTGAGATTGACCATCCTGACAAGTTGATGAATTCGATATTTGCTTTTACTCCTGGCGGGATTCCTAGAATGGAAGCTTATGAAGCAGTAGACAGTCGTGGAAAGTTTGATGCTGCTGTTTTTCTCAGGAAACGTGGATTGGGGTTCATACAAGTTTATCCCCCAGAAAGGTGATGAAGGCTTCAAGCTTTAGCAAAATGTAACATAGAACTGGGTTTAAGAATATAAAGGATTTCAAACTTAAATCCGTGGTTTGGAGCTTGGAGCAGAAACTCGATGAAGCCTCCAGTTTTTGCTTAGGGCAGATAGTCGCAACCACTTCACCACCATGAGGAAAGCATTCAGTCCAATACCACCATCTAAAACACAAGGAACGTTCAAAACCAGTGAAGCTATCGTAGAATGCTCCTCCGCACTACCAAATTAAGGAACTGTCATTGGCTTGAGAAAGACCATGCCGTCTGAAATCAGATCTTAAATGGCGATGCATCCACATACAAGAAAACCCTCTCGGATCCCTTCAGCAAGTCCATCAATATCCTGACGCCTTTGGTTTGCACGAAATAGTCCAGCCAAGAAAGTCATGACGAGTTATGTAAAGAGATCACTGCATTGACTTTGGTAAAGGTAGTGCGTGTATGTTAAACCAGTTTGGAGTCGTGATTGGTGGAATTGTGGCGTGTTTTTTTGGTTGATAGGAGGAAGGTTCGAGTTAATTGGAAGATTCGACAAATCCGAGGGTTCAAATGTTCTCGACATTGGGCACCTTCTTAAACGAAACTGGAAAAAGCATTTGAGGTCAAATGAGTATATATCGAAACGGCGGCATGAAAGACACACATCGACGACGATACACGTACTCTGATCCAAAACTGAATACTGATTCGTTGATTGTGGTATTACAGCCTTGAGCGGCGTATTCTTGTTTGAATTCCTATTTGATGTTTGGATGTTATGATCAACCGAATATAAGTGTTGCTATCCAATCGAATCACGTACGCTTGATATTTGTATGGTCTCGCATACTAGGGATATACAGAACCCATGTCGTGGTTTGTGTCTGCGTCTAAACTCGGTAAAAACTCTCCAACTACTTCTTAAAACACCCAAAAACAGGCTGAAAAAAATGAAGCGAGTAAGGATTTCTGTCGAGCCAGCGAGCATCAAGCCTCCACAAGCAGGTATTCCCAACTATTAAAATGATATGTAATCTATGTCTCATACCCTCATACCCTTATTCTCATGTAGTAATCTTCAACAACAAGGCAGCATCAATCGGCACTACATCTTTCAAGTTATATGGATCCGACATTGTGAAGAACGCACCTAGCTTGTATGCTATAGGACATACAGACAAGCTGGAATTTGTTGGAGAGTCGCTTGATGACCTGCCAGTTCACTATGCTGTTGGCATTTATCGTCCAGCTGACAACACTGTCAAGATACATGAAGCACCCATGTTTGAGGTTGGGACTACTGTCAAGAGGTTGAGGAATGAAGCATCTCGTGAGATTGGTGTCAAGGTAGGTTGATTTCGCAATAGTGACTCTGCATCCTTAATTTTTTTTTGGCTTTTGAGCTTTCTCAAAAACATACGCTTTGAGATTTACAATGCCTCTAACATGACTCTATTGAAGAATGCACTATCTCGAAAATCATTGGGCGAAGCATTCGGTACCAAGAAGAGAAGGAGACAGCTTCAATCACGAGAAGAGAATGAGATTGATGTCGGTCAAGATCTCAAGGGCTCTGTCTTGGAGGCTATGAATGATACTATTGATGCTATCGATGGACCTACTCAAGGTACGCATACCTCAGCGTTTCAATGAAGACGTTTTTTGTTCTCTTTCGTCGCCAAAAAAAACCAATCTCTTTATGTTCCAAATAGACGATCACAAAATGGACGCCTCAGACCGCGTTATACCTGCTTACAACCCAGCCGCAACACAAGTCGACGACATATACCCTCTCGAACAGACGATCCCAACACACGAACTCAACTCCATAAACCTAAACACCATTCTCAAACTCACGAGTCGTGAAGAGCTCGAAGAGCACCTCTCCGAACTGAAAGCACCAGTATGTGTGACTCGCCACATCCGCAGCATACTGATTTCAGGTGCCACATCCAATGAAGCGAGACTGAAATTAAAGGTGTTGATGTATGTCGCGTATATGGGACTGTTGGTTGGACTCAAGGATCGGGATTTGAAGAATCTGGATCGGTTGTTGAAGAATGTGCCTACTGCTATTGCGGAGGGGTTGAAGGATAAGTTTACGAGTATGGGTGGTGAGGAGGGTGCTGAGATGTAAGTTTTCGAGAGCATGACTTTGTCATTATTCATACTGTATGTAGTACACTTCTTTTGTTGATGGTTATTTTCTTTACATCTTAGTCGTGTCATGTCAGATCGATCCAAGGATATGCTCTTTACACATATATTCTGTCTGCTCTTGCGAATCAACAATTGGATTATGGATCCCAGAGAACTCAAGGAGGCTTATGGGCTTGGGATTGTCAAGTTAGTACTATCTTGTTCGAGTATCATACTCGTTTTGGGTGCTCACCAACTACACCTCACTTCTACAAACAGAGTAACAGACCTACTCAAAGAACTGGGATGTCGTATTGACATATTGACCAAAGCACAGAAGGAAGCATTAAATGTAGTAGGAAGGGCTGAAAAGAGAGCGAGACTTGCTCTTCCTTTCGTACTGCCTCAAGCTCGTATGAGGTTGGCAAGGAATTGAAAAGTTGTGAGAGGGGTGGACGTTTGCTTGCATGGTACCTATTTCAAAGAACAAGAAGGCGGGAAAGAGTTTGTTACAGTATAACAGTCGCTAGTTTATTATTATCATAGATTTCACAAAAATACAACATTTCCCTTGTACACAACTACAACCTAAGCTATTTGTTGAATTCCCGTTCGCCAATAGCGCTCCAACGCTTCCGTCTTTGCATGCCTAGATTCAGAAGAAGGAAATATATCAGCAAAAAGTAGCAAAAAGAAGGGCAGTACACGTCTCGAAATACCTTGAGAGGTAGGCCTCATCGGACAAGTCTTCAACTTCAACTATAGATACATCTTCAGTCGATTCTGGTAAGATGAAATCCTCAATAGACCACCATGGGACGACAATATCTAAACGAAGATAACCAACTCGGTTAGCCTGATCTGACGGAAAACAAAAACAAACCAATACACATGGATCTAAAACCACACGACGTCACGTACCAAACATCTTCTCAACTGACTCCACAGATTGCTTTGGATCAGATATTTGAGAAGTACGTCTTCGTCGTAGAGAAGTGGCGCTGGTTGTTGATGAGATACGTCGTCGTGGAGATGAGGTTCTGCCTGGCGGTCGTCCCTTTCTCTTTGATGGTTGATATGCGGGTTCTTCTTCAACTGGTGCTGCTCCAATGTACATGTATGGCAGTCCATACCTAGGCAAGTCGACATCTATGCAAAAAATGTTACTAACTCACCTCCTCAAAATGTTCAAACATGGGTTGAAACCTCACCTATCCTTCCAGATCTCCCTTCACACTCTTCCGTACAATAAAATTTCATCCTCCCATCAACCACTTTTCGAGATAGAGACACACCAAAACACCTCGGATGAAACGCTTTCGAGCATCCATTACACATGACGATACGTTTCTCGGTTTGTGTAAAGCATGCATGGCAATATTCTTGAAGTATGGGTCGAATGCGTGCTTCTTCGTCTGTGAATGTGCTGAGATCAAGTCGTGGACGACCTGATCCGCTGCCCCAGCCTTTCCAGTCACATCCATGTTTACTGCGGTTGTAGATGTGGAGTGTAAGGAGCTAGACGATCCAAAAAAACAACATTGACTTGAAGAAGACTCTTACTTGCAAAGAGTTTTCTTCCCCCACGGCCCAGGCCTGAATGATGAGCAGCTAACCTTCTGAGACACTCCGCACTACAAGATCAAAGTTTCAGTATCGCTGTTTAAGTGTGTAAAATCGTATCAAGCAATCTTACATATCGACACCAATCAATCCCAGCCCTCGTCAACAACTCGAATATCGTACTATCATCCTCCTCATCAGCTTGCTCCAGCACAGGCTCCTCCTCTTCCTCCTCATCATCATCCACTTCAACAGCCTTTGGCGACGAGTACGATATAGTGATTACATGGGAGTATCCCCCTGTAGTCGATTGATGATATATGTGCGTAACGTGTTCGTTCTCTTCGATCGTCATGGATGGTGGAGTTGCGGGCGGGGATGGTAGTGATGATAAATCTTCATCGTCAGTTGGTTTGGGTGCGACTGGAGGTGTGAGTCGGGACGAACGCCTTCTGGTGTCGTCGGGAGTGGTTTCATCATCAGGAGGGGTTAGATGTCTTGATCGTTTGAGTTTTATAATTATTCCAGTTGTTGTTCGTTGTCTTTTATTCGATTTGAGTGGGTTTGGGATGAGTGGAGTCGCTGTTGGTTTTGGGAGAGGTAGAATTTCCAATGTTTGTGACCTTCTTGTAGCGATAGTCATGATTGCGAAGGGCAGAGTATGATACAAATGTGCTTGATTTTGTCTAAAATGAGGTTTATATTAGCATTATTGGTAGTGATATAGTCTGATTCTTTGGTTTGGTACTCACTCTGAAATTAGAATTTGGCCACGTTGTTGCAAGTACAGCGACTGTCGCCTACCAGGTCGATAAGAGAAGGAGCACTCAGCAGGACAGACAATGATATAGACGACAAGACCTGCTTATTCCGCCTCCTTCGTCTTCGATAAAATCGAATTTGAGTTTGGTGGGACGAAAATAATGTCGCTCATTTGACGAATCAACAATCGCGACAACATGAAATGCAAGACATGTGAAAAAGCGTGACGAACAACATGGTGTTTTCGAATTCTATAATTCTATATAATATTCAACTGTACAAAAATACATCAATACGGACTGATTGCATCAATTTCCTATCCAAAAAGAAGTTCGTTAACAACACCACCTCTCGTAGCAAAGGAAACCGACACACTCATCGAACAGATCTCTACCTCAATAGTACTAGCATGTCTCAGCTCCTCCATCTTCTTCCAAAACACCTCCGTATCCGACTCAAACTGAGGATTGACTCCAGCCTTTTCTTCAATCTCAGTCACTTCAGCCTCCAATTCTTCGATCTCCTTGAGAATAGCAGCCTTTTGTTCCGCAGTCATCACTGGTACAACAATGGGTTCAGAGAGTGACTGGACGGAGTATGGTGAAAATATCAAGTCCATCAATTCATGATTGCGGCGGTATCTTTCTGCTGATATCTGCCTGATGTTTACGCGATCCAACTCATCTAACATGTATAAAAAAAGAACGAATCAATTACAACTAAAAAATTACCAAGCCTGCAATAATAACATACCACCAGACATGTCATCATCTTCTTCTCGTTGTACATTTCGTGTAGTTTGATGTTGCCGCTTTCTCTTTGTATTGCCTTCATCCCGAACTCTAAGACTACCCAATTGAGTCTACGAAAAGGCAAAAACGAGAGGATCAACATCAGTGGGTCAAGTACTGGACCTAAACCCCAACTCTTACATTCTGAGCAGGGGCATTGACTCGCTGCTGTTGCTGCTGCTGTTGCTGCAATTGCTGCTGAGCCATCATCTGCGGAGACATTTGTTGTCTTTGCATCTGTTGCTGTTGCTGTTGTTGAAATTGAGCCTGTTGTTGCATCTGTTGCATTTGTGCTTGCTGTTTCTGCATTTGTAATTGCTGTTGTTGCTGAGCAAACATTTGAGCATTTCGTTGCTGTTGCTGCTGTTGCTGTTGTTGTTGCATCATTTGTTGTTGAATGGCTGCTTGCTGTTGTTGAGGTGATGGTTGCTGCTGCTGTTGCGGTTGTTGTTGCTGTTGCTGTGGTCGGACAGTAGTTGGAGGGATTTCATAGTTGAGGAAGGGTGCTCCTTGTGGTTTTTCACGTTCCATTCCATTTACGACTGCCGTTCGACGTTCTAAGAATGAAAAGTTGAGATGAGCGAAAAACGAGAGAAAACACTGCAAAAACTCGTTGCCAATTCCGAAAAGGGTTAACTCACCAGGTGGAGTGGGCCACCAATGAACAAGTTGTATGTTTGGCTGTCCTGCAACACGAGCTCGTCTTCTTGCGCTAAGACACGTGGATGTAGCTAGGATGAGCTCTCGGGGAAGCAAAAAATCAAGCAATCCTTTCGAAGAATTACATTCTCGTCCTTGTATCATTTGGTCCGTATCCTCCAAAGCGATCCCATACTTCAAGCTAACATAAAGTACGAAGAGAGGTCAGTCAAAGTTCCAAGCAATCGTATTGCAACATGAGACCAATCTTGACAAAATCAAAAGCAGCCAGGGCTGATAATGATTAATACGCGTGTCGAGATCATACGTACTATAACACTCCCTTGCAAACAAGCCTTCTGATAATGTTGTTCCTCATCCATCCAGCCGTATCCATCTGACGGAAACACATCTAAACTATTTCCGTTACTTGGACATAGAAACATTAACGCACCCTCTATATAGATAAGCGAATGGGTGTCAGTTGAAAATTCCAAAGACATGTTCTTAATGTTGATGACTTTACCAGGTGGTTGACGAAACAAGAAATCTTCAGTTTGATTCAAAAATCCCGATTGTCTTATTTGGCCAATGAGTCCAGCCATTGATTCTACATCGTATACGGCATGGAGAGGAACTAAGAAATGGATCTTGTTAGATTTGGTGGTGGGTTTTGGATTTACAGAGAGATGAATGGCGAATGGCTTACGCTTTTTAGTGACTGAGTATCCTCGGAATGTGAATATTTCTGTATTGTTGGACATTGTTGGAGCTGGTTCCTTGTTTCAATGTACAGGTTGTGTTTTTGGACGAAATGGAAGGCGAAGCTGCGAGATGACACTTTAGCTACAATGTGGCATTTGCTTATTTTAATATGATTGTAAAATTACAAAGGACAAAAGACACGAAAGAGCTCGTATCATCCACGCCGGGCAGAAAAATTGCTTCTGTCATCTTCAATCAGCAAAGTCCTCACGTATCACCTTGATAATCTCCATTGGTGCTTCAAGGTTGGGATAATGTCCAACACGTTCCAACTCGATCATCTTAATGTCATCAGCGTATCTAGTAACATCACATCTGTAAGCAGCCACTCCCTCGTAGATCCATTCATGTACAGAGTTACCTGGCATGTAGATGATCCGCAACGTGAGGGCCCGATACTGGGTCTTTTAAACCTAGATAGAATTCAGATGTAGTCTGTATTTTTCCATCATATAGAGAAACATCTCGAAGACTCACCCCAAATGAATGCTGGCTTACAGCTCAAAAAGGCAGTCTTGTATTCCATACATGCTGTATCAAGAGCACCCTCCCATCGTTCATAATTCAGCTTCCGATCACGAATGTATTGGATTAGGCGATGGTAGTTACTTGTTCTATATTTGATAATGGAAGTGTCAATTGGTGTATTCGAGCTTACTATAAAATCTCATTCAAACTTCTCTCAGGACTACACATGATCTGTCAAAGTTTTCAATGGGCCTCTGCATAACAATCTTCAACTTTACAAACAAACTCACCCATTCCTATTAACAATCCCAACCCAATGTTCATGCACCTCCTCATCCGTTATCCCACCCTCACCAAACAGCGACTTGAATGATACCGAGAACGCACCTTCCGTAATGAACATCGACACATACGGACCCGTCCATGAATTCAACAACAACTGTTGAACCAACAACGGTTTGTGAAGCGACTGTATCAACGCACCATTCAGGAACAGTATATGAGTTATATGTGGAGCAGGAACCGGTAATGCGAGATCAAATTCCGGCTTCGGAGACGCCAGTGGTGATGGAGCTGGCGTTCGTTGTTGGATTTGAATTGAGAGTAGTTCTTGAGCGACTGAGACGGCTAGATCGTGTGCTACTATTTTGTATGAGGTTATTTCAAAGTTCTGGAGGAGTTGGATCGTTATGTGGGCCTGTTCTACTATGGTATAGTCGTGATCTAGAGAGTAAACGTTTGTGTGAGATGCACCGTATGTTGAACAGCAACTAACCATTGTCAATGGAATGCAGCAGAATATCAAGAGAATTCATCAAAGTTGATACCATTCGGCTTGTCTGAATCTCCAAATCCCAAAAAATCAAATGTCAGCATATTGAAATCCGGTTTTAATTTGTCATAGATAGAATAGTAATCAAAGCTACACGTTGGAAACCTGTTAAAAAAGTTAGTGAAGCACCGCAATAAACCAACTTGACTATGCTGATCAATCTCACCCATGAAGAAACACAATCCAAGACTTGTCTCCAGCAACTTTACTGACGTGGCAGGAGAGCTCTGCTTGTGCCCTGGTGCTCGGTAATTGTACATTTACCCTACTAGCCTCTTTAAACCACTCTAATATGTGCATTGGTCTGTAATTTCTCTTGGCGTCCCAGTTGATTGTTTTGTGAAGGCACGATGACAGTCGCCAAACCACCGCACGAAACATTTAATTGATGCACATGCTTTTATTGGGCTTTACTATTTCATCATCAGATCGACATGTACAACGCCACCTCAACACAATAGTTTCAGACAGGTTGATATTGATCTATTTTTTTCTTTCTTTTTCAAAAGTAGAGACAAGAAGGGGGTAAACTTATGTGCAAGAAGCACCGCTAGCTTTGGTATTCAAGATCAGAGCGACTAGATGGTGTTTGAATGTTAGAAAACGAAGCGTGTGGATCAGCAGATTATTGGGACGAAAACTCACCAATGAGTCCATATAGACCCAATACTTCAGCGAAAATGAGAATGAGGATCATGCCTGTATGGTAAAAGAGCACTTTAGAATAGCAAAGAAGAAATGCTATTCTGATATCACACTCACCGACATAGAGTCTGGGTTGTTGACCTGTACCCCGAACACCAGCGTCGCCAACAATACCAACGGCAAACCCAGCGGCCAAACCAGACAAACCGACAGATAGACCAGCACCAAGTTGAATGAAGGAAGCGAAGAGAGTCATTTGTTGCGCCACTGTCGAGCAAAAACAGATCAGTAATCGAACAGCATGGATTGTTTTGACCAATTTCTTTACTCACAGTTTCCAGCAATGAGAATTGACACAACCAGTCCATAAATAGCAATAATACCAGCCTAATTGTATATGATGTGGCGTTGGTTGAAGAAAACGATAGACGATTAAGACACTTCCAACACCACAAAGGGAATCGAGATGTAGTCCATTGCATACCATAATAACAGGAATAGTATTTTTGATCATTTGTTCAGGTCTCATCACACTTGTCACGCAAATACCAACACCAGATTTGGCTGTTCCATAAGCAGCACCGAATGCTAATATAGATAAGAGCAACGAGTCAGTAAAGCAGGATTTGAGTAAAAAGCAAAAGTAAATGTTGAGTTGGTCCATCTCTATGATAATCGAGTTGACATTGTCGCATATCCCAAAATGTTTGGAACTCGAATGATGTTGGGAGTATGCGAAGTGTGGATTCGTCCAATACAGCGAGGAAGAGAAGGGAGAGCATATGCAGGATACGTACAGGTGAATACTATGGCAACTGCAGCACCCATTGATCCAAAGAAGGGACTATCAGGGACATTTAAGAAAATAATCAATTTAATATCGATATACCAGACAACCGTGTTTTCGATACAAGGAGAATAATACTTACGCGTATACTGGGCAAAAGTCAGTCATGATTGTATGGTGTCGTCGATTAATGTCCCTGGCTGTGACTTGTTATTCTTGGTCTGTCTTTTGACTTTGAAGGATGTGTTGAGTTGCAACGAATAACGAGAACGAGGACTGTGGATTTGTTTTTTTATTTCAGATAATACCTCATCACGTCGAGATTCACGTGTAATATCTACAGACACGCTTGGATTGCTCTAGTATAGACGTATCTCTATATTCACGGCAAGTTGCCGAAAAGATTGCAGAGTGAATATGTTTAAAGCTCAAGATCAAGCGAGAACTAGTCATTTTCTTACTCTACCTATATCTAAACATCACTACCAACTTTATTTAGATGAGAACTGTGCTTGCATGGACAGACAAGATTGTTTCATCAAACGGACCACTGCCCGTATACGATCTAGCCTTCAAACCAGATGCATCTCAACTAATCGTAACCGCAGGCTCAGAACTACTCGTATACGACACGGACAAGGGTGACATCATCACCTCCCTAAAGGCACATAAAGCAACTATATACTGTGTCCAATTCAGTGCTGATGGCAAACGTTTTGCTACTGGATCTGCTGATAAACAAGTCATTATATGGAATTCGGATGAGTTTGCTCCTATTGGCAAATACTCGCACTCTGATTCGGTACAGACTGTCGCGTTTAGTCCTGCTAGTGGGGTTATATTGTCTGGAAGTACATCTGAAGTGTGCTTGTGGTCGGCTGAACAAAAAGGTGTTACAAGGTTGAAGGTACTTATGTTTTCGAAGTCTTCTTTTTTGCTGGTTGTTTGTTTCTCAACGACCAGTTTCTTCACCATCACGCATGAACCTAACGTACTTTCACACACAGGTCAACTCAAAAGTCTTGACCGCGTCATGGAATACAGAGGGCACTCATTTCGCGCTGGGACATTATAATGGTGTCGTATCTATAAGAACACGGACGGGTGAAGAAACAACACGCATAGAACGTGGCCCAAATCCAGTATGGTCTCTAAGTTTCTGCCCATCCCAAGATATGTTAGCAGTATCAGACTGGTCACAACAACTCGCATTCTATCAGCTGGACGGCAAACAAGTCGGGAAAGAACGTCCACTAGGCCTAGATGCATGCACCATATCCTATTTCAGTAATGGAGACTATTTCGTTATGGGTGGCCAAGATCGTAAAGTCACCTTATGGACTAGTGGGGGTATAAAGTTAGGTCCTGTATCTGAATGTGAGTCGTGGGTGTGGTGTGCTAGAGTCAAGCCAGGTCAGAATTATGTAGCTGTCGGGTGCCAAGATGGGACTCTGTCGCTGCATCAGATAGTTTTTAATACAGTGCATGGACTATACCACGATCGATACGCATACCGTGAAAATATGACGGATGTAGTGATACAGCATCTGTCGACACAACAAAGGGCACGCATCAAGTGTCGAGATCATGTTAAAAAGATTGCCGTGTATAGAGATCGACTAGCAGTACAATTATCAGATCGTATAATTGTATATGAGCTCACCCATGATGATGCAACCGACATGCACTATCGCATAAAGGATAAGTTATTGAAAAGGTTGGAATGTAATTTGCTTGTCGTCACCGCCGAACACATAATACTCTGTCACGACATGAAGCTGCAAATGTATAATTTTGTCGGCGACAAGGTGCGGGAATGGTCTCTTGATGCCTTTGTGAGGTATATCAAAGTAGTCGGTGGACCACGAGCACACGAAGGCCTACTAGTAGGTCTCAAGAGTGGACAGGTGCTACGAATATTTACAGACAATCCATTTCCGATACCGATAGCCAAAGTCAGCTCATCTGTCCGATGTCTTGATCTCTCCATGAATCGAAACAAGGTCGCTATAGTAGATGAGCAGAATGTCGTATCGGTCTACGACATTAAAACACAGGAGCTCCTGTTTCAAGAACCGAACGGAAACAGTGTGGCATGGAACTCTGAAATGGAGGACATGTTGTGCTACAGTGGTAATGGACTAGTGCATATAAAATCAGGCAACTTCCCAGCCCATCAACAAAAATTGCAGGGCTTCGTAGTGGGTTTCAAAGGATCTCGTATATTCTGTCTGAATGTATACGCTATGACTACAGTCGACATTCCACAAACTGCCACGCTCGAAAACTATCTCGAACATCGAGACTTTGAAACTGCATATAACGTTGCGTGTTTGGGTGTTACTGATGCTGATTGGAGAAGACTGGCTATGGAGGCTATTGAGGGCTTGTCTCTGGATATAGCTAGAAGAGCTTTTGTGAGATTACGAGATTTGCCGTATGTGGATTTGTTGAGAACGTTTGAGAGGGCCAAGGCTGAGGGTAAAAATCAGCCAGATTTGTTTTTGGCTGAGGTTTACGCTTATTCTGGTCGTTATCATGAGGTGAGTGAGTGGGCTCTGCTAGGGCGAATCATGCATCACTTCCCTCATATCGTCTGTTTTTGGCACCAATTGTTCACAGGAATTAACAAACAAAAAAGCTGACAAACGTCGTAATTATTAGGCGGCTAAACTCTTCAAACGATGTGGGCATCCTGAGAAGGCCATTGAGATGTATACAGAACTAAATATGTGGGCCTTTGCCACACAAGTCGCTGAAGAAACCAAATCAAATCCAACCGACATACTATCACGAAAGGCACAAATGCTCGAAGACCAACAAGATGGTGCCGCGGCAGCTGCCACATATATGGACCTTGGAGAATACGCTAAAGCTATTGATCTCTTTGTCGCAGACATGGCATACGACAAACTCATAGAAGTCGTCCGAAAAGTAGATCGCTCAGAAAGTAAAATCCTCAGTAAATGCTATGACGTATTCAAAACTGTCGGACAGTACGATTATGCTGCTGAAACGTTAGTGAAACTACGTGATATAACTCATTTGCTGGAACTGCATATTGAACGCCAGAAATGGGACGAGGCATTCAAGATCATAAAGATACATCCCGAACATGCTGCTCAAGTAGAATTACCGTATGCTAATTGGCTGGCGGCCAATAATCGATATATAGAGGCCCAAGAGTTTTATCGCAAAGTGGGGAGACTGGATGAAGCATTCCGAGTCTTGGAGAATCTGGCTCAGACTGCTATAGTGGATTCTCGATTTGACGATGTTGCATTTCATTATTGGACGCTAGCTCATGAGCAGCTAGATCGTATACCTGCTGACGTCGAAGCTGCACATCTAGATGAGGTTGAGAAGGTCGCTCTGGCTAGCTTCACCAAACATTTAGAGCTCGCTGAAATCTATTATGCATACCACCATGTCCGTAAATTCATACACGATCCGTTTACGCTACATATGCCAGAATCACTATTAAATATGGCTCGATTCGTCTTGCAGTGGGGTGTCAACGATAAACCACTACCACCAGGAGTATCCAAAGCCCATTTATTATTCGCAGCTGCTAAACTGGGACGAGCTTTAGGTGCCAATAAACTGTCGCAGACGTGCTTTGAAGGACTCTCACATCTTCGGTTTCCATTTCAATGGACGGAAGCAGTCGAAGTCGGAGCAGTCACCATCCGTGGTCGTAGCCCTATAGACGCCGAAAACCTCCTACCTGTATGTCCATCATGCATGACTATCGGTGTATTACTGGATGACACTGGACCCCGATGTAGATCATGTCTCGAACCCACCGTATGGTCCTTCTACTCGTTTGATGCACTCCCGCTAACGCAATTCCAGCCAGAGCATGATGTATCGTCCTCCGAAGCTAGACATTTACTGTCGCTGGATCCGCGCGGTGGTAAAGCTATTGTGTTTGGTGGTGAAGATGATGGACCAAGCTGGAGGGATCTAGTTGAGATGGGTGGTAAGCGTGACGAGAGCGAGGATGTGGACGGGTCGAGGATGCTGGGAGGTAGATGGAGGGATCATGTTGATGCGTCACCGCATAATAATAGCAGTGGAAAGAGCAAGTCTAGTAAACAGCCACGACGTGAAACAGTAGTTAAAAGCAGTGAAACACTAGCATCTAACGGAGGCAACTTGTCTGATCGACACCTGCACGGACTTTTAAAATCCAACATGTCTGCATTCGATGCGCCGAGATTATCGAGGAAGGAAATGCAAGCCATACCACCATCACAGAGCTTTGTCGTGTCTTGGAATCGAAGGTGTATTGCAGACCGGTATTATAGACTTGTGGTTGCTGAGGCACCTATATCGATGTGTCTGACATGTAGGCATTTCTTTCATGAGGAGGAATGGATTCATCATACGAGGACGACGGGGGCGTGTCCGTTTTGTAGGGCTTCGGCTTCGAGGGCTGGGTAGTTGATAACACAGTAGTTGTAGTAAATATAGCAAGCAAAAACTCTAGTGTTTGGGGATGGCATATATTATTTTGGTGTTGTTGCACATATGTACAAATATACTATATAGGACAGAATGAATTACATATTGAGTCTGAATGGCACATGGTTGTCTTGAAAGTTCTATTTCTTGATTTGGTCGCTATAGATAGTAGAAAGTTTCTGATTAGCTTCTGGAATCTCTTTCAAAGACACGGACAAAAAACCCCCAAACATTCAACTCACAAACACTTCCAGCAATACGGAGTAGTATCCAGCATCTTGGCATGAGAATCAAGCTTGGTTTTACATGTTGAACAAGCCAGACAGTTACGATGCCACTTAGTGTTCATAGGGCCTGGAGCTTGGTCCAAAGCAAACGTAGCCTTCTTGCAACCAGGACACGTCATGGAACCTCCTAATGCCTTCAATGCTGAATTGTCCTTGGGTCCGACTTGGCGTTCACCAGTCATTGGGTTGACGCTATATGTTGGCAAAAAGATGGACGATGAAGGAGTGGGAATTCGTCACGATGAAGGTAGTCATTTCAGGTACTTACGTGAATCCAGGCTGTCGTTGTCCATAAATTTGAGGCCCACCACTAACTTGCACAGAAGACATCTTATTCTTTAAACACGGCTCACAAATGGGCCCATTCCCAGAGTCACCATACGGTTCAGCAGCCAGCGACTTACTACACGAAACACACGTGAAGCATGTTTCATGATAAACCAAATCCTCAGCCTTAATAAACCTCCCACTAACACCCTTCTTACATTTCTGACACGTCAGAGTGCCCTTAGCAGCAACTACAACCTGACGACATTCAGGGTGGTACGACTTCCTGTCTTCAGATACAAATCGTCCTGTTATCTGCTTCGAGCATTCGGCACAAGTAAAACAGTGGTTGTGGTATAAGAGTCCATTCGGGAGTTGGGTGCCTCCATTGGTGACGACTTCGAGACATTTGTCGCAGCGTCTGGAGAGGTCTGGGACGTTTTTACGGTCGTTGAATTGTTGGAGTGCGGTGTTGTGGGCTGATATTGCTGCATTGTTGTTCATGGATGATACTTTGGGTGTGGATTCGGTGCCTGATCCAGCCTTAAGGGCGCCAGGTCTCTGAAGAGCAATCTTGTCTCGGCATGGATAGCAGCATGGTTCATTATTAAAGTCGATGAATGTGGATGTTAGGTGTGTTTGGCAGTTGAAGCATCTAAAGCAATTTGGGTGGTAGAAGCGGTTCAAGGCTATTGAAAGATAGGTAAATGTGAGTTTGTGAGAAGCGAAAGCTAGTACACCAACAACTAAAAAAAACCGACAACAGGTGATACATTCATACCTTGAATTCCTTCTCCAAAGATTACTTGACTGCACTCTTGGCATGATTTTCCTTCGGTGAAGCATTCCTTAATTTGAAAAACATGAGAGCTTAGTTTTCGGCAGCGGAAAAGACCGTATTACGGACAAACGTGACAAGATATTTTACCTTGTGCCAGAATTTCCCACTCATTTCAACATATTGTCGACCCAGTCCAACTACAGGTTGAGAACAAGCTTGGCAGTCGCCCTTCTTGAAATGACGCGCATAACAGTTTGCGCAATAGATAAATCCTCCTTTATCAGCTGGACCTGGAAAGACATCATTACCCTACGAATACGTTGTTTAGTTACCGAAAATGATCAAAGCAAAGAATCAGACATATGCTACCTGAGTAAGATGCCTGTTGCATTCAACACAGACTTCATTCACGACATCTTCAGCTCCAAATACTTGTTTGATTCCAGAAGCGACGCCGGATCTGAAGCCTGTTGAGAGGTAGGCGTCTTGGTATTTCTGGCCGGTATTTTCAGCACTGCTTAGACCAGATGTTGCTGAATCGGCTATCGAAGATACGAACATTGTTGGTTCAAAATGTGGTGGATGTTGCGACAAACACGGGTTGATCTCCCGGATATTGCCATATATGTCATAATGCAAAGTGCAGATCTTCAACTGCTCAATGACTGGTTATGCAAGTAACGAGCGCTTACATGCTTTTCCGCCGCCACAAGGACAGATACCACTAGTGTTTTTAACAATCTCCCCGCAGTAAGAACAAAATCCCTACGAGGACGAGATCAGTCAATGTCGAGTATGGGAAAAAGCTGTTGCGCATTTACCATTGTTGTATCTAGTGTTTCCTTCGTCTTGGTCTACGATTCTAAGTAGTTGTGTTTGTTCAGCGGCAGACGACAGAGCTGCGGCTTCCGCGTAGCAACTGGTCCAGACTCAAATTCATCGTATATACATGATTTTACTTATAATCTCATAATCTCACGCGAACTGCCCCGAAATCGCTTCACGTTTTCTTTCTGGAAATGCGGCAGCGAGAAAATCAGTGCTCTTAGATTGCACGTGTTTGGGCCGGACTGATCCAAACAGTGATACGAAAGATTTCGTGGATAGTATCGATTTCAGGTCTCTGGATACACACCTACCTGTACAGAAGGTGGAAATCGTCAATGCTTCCATGTTACAAGCAAATTTATTAACATTAAAATCGACACAAAACTTAAGATGTCACGCGTTGGATTCAATTAAAGAGCCAGATGGTGTAGATGTAGGCACGCATCACATATTTAGATAGTGTCCGATTGTCCCTACTCGACATTTGGCAAAGGATTTTCTGCTCCACACACTCACACACTGGACGCAAAACCCTGTTTCGATCCTAAGCAACGACCGAAGCTGGCCAAACTAGAACCAGATGAGACCCGTCACCTTCCCGGCCATTGACATTGCGTGGAAGGTGAGTGATACCCCAACTTTTAGCGTAGCTCATTTGCAGGGGAGAACGCCATGCCACCTGTCGACGATAACTTTGCAAATGAGCAGGCAAGACTGGCATTGTGACAGGCTGCTTTGTACGTCAAGAAATCTCAAAGCACGACCTATTATCAGTAGAAGATGTAGAGTAGTAACCAACACCAGAATGTTATTTTGTCTCCTCGAGTTTCGCAAATTTTCCACCAAACGTCGTGACGATGAATCGTAAGTGTCAAAATGGTGCGATTCGATACATCGTGGCGCCGTTGCTGACTTTCAAGTTTTCTCCACAACACACATGTCAAATCTAGAAAGCCATGGTAAACGTGAAAGAAGAGGACGTTATAATAGTAGAGGTTCCTACAAACCATGTCCACAGAAAGCTTCAAGCTAGACTTTTGCAGGTAATGCTGCATCTTTGTTTTCCTGTGTCATCGAACTTTTGACAGGCGTTTGGATTCGAGGTTTTTGGATGCACCTCGATAAGAAGTCGATCAAGACGCGAAAGCTAATGGTAATTTCATCTATTCAGATGATTGCATTGGGTGCTACTATTGGTACGTATTCCCTATCTCTTGTGAGATCATCCATCCTCGACTGCGTGAAGCCTCCATGTACCAACTCGAGCCACACCGCAACCTTTCGACTCCTTTTTCTCACAATCCGGTCATGGTGGAGTTGGTAACCACTTTGAAAATGGTGAATGTTCATCACGTACTCTTCCCTACTTAGGTACTGGTCTCTTTGTCGCTTCTGGAAGCACCATTGTGTCAGCTGGTCCTGCTGGTGGTCTTCTATCCTACGTCATTGTTGGATTCTTGGTACATGGAGTCGTAACTGCCTTGGGTGAAATGTCCACCCTTTATCCAATATCCGGTTCTTTCAACGTTTATGCTTCTCGGTTTGTCGAGCAGTCTCTCGGATTCTCTATGGGTTGGAACTAGTACGCAGTTATTTGATACTGCTAAGATTTTTCAAGAGCTGCGAGTCTGATATTCTCTTGCTTTGCTACTAGCTGGGCATCATGGGCTATCACCAATCCTGCAGAATTATCAGCTGGTGGTATGATCATTCAATATTGGCTACCAAGCGTGCAACCGTAGGTGTGGGCATTGTAAGCAGAACCTCTATGTTTCTTGATTCGATGTTCAAGGAATGATGCGTTGAAAAGAGACTCAAACATATGGCATTGGGATAATGTAGCGAACGCTCTTTGCTGTGCTAACCGAAACGCATTCACCGTTATAGAGTGATAATAGTCATATTAACAGCAATCAACATGGTTGGTGTACGAGGTTTTGGTGGTATGTAGAATCCCTCGTCTTTCTACATTAGGCAGATTACAACATCCTTCTCGACTAGAACTCGAATATTGGCTCTCCCTAATCAAGGTCATTGCCATCGTAATCTTCATCATTATCGGAATATCCGCCGTCTGTGGTGCTTTCCCGTCTGTCGGGAAACTCGGCTTCACGTACTGGATTTCTACTGACCATCATCCACATTGGACGCCGTCCTCTAATGGTCTTGCTGGTATCGCATACGCATTTCCCACTGCTTTCTACAGTTTCGGTGGAACAGAATTGGTTGGTATTACTGCCGGTGAAGCTGCCGACCCACGGGAGACTGTACCAAAAGGTGTGTGTCGCGAATATCCCCTGGACAGAATTTACCAAGAAAATGCTTTCGTTCCTCTAGCCATTCGTGGTACTTTCTGGCGTATCATCCTCTTCTATGTAATGGCTATCGTACTGGTCGGATTGCTGATACCTCAAGATGATCCCGGTACGTTTTGACATTTTCACACAACCACGTGAATATTAAGTCTTCAAACCCCACTACAAATACATCACAACAGGTCTCGTCGATTCTGCTGGAGACATCACCACCGCTCCTTTCGTCTTGGCTTACGAAAAAATTGGTATCGCAGGTGCTGCCAACGTCATGAACGCCGTAAGTTTGATTGCTCTTTTATCTGCTGCAAATTCCTCCATCTATGCTGCATCTCGGACCCTTATGGGTATGGCTGAATCTGGTTTGGTATGTATACAAGCAAAGTTGTTGACACGCCAAAAAGAAACTCAAATGTTGCCTTGTTGTCTCTGAAACCATTCAGGCACCCAAAATCTGTGGCTTGGTAGACAAGCGTGGTGTCCCATGGGTATCTCTGGCCATCTCCGTCCTCATCGCCTGTATCTCCTTCTTGAGTTCACTGTTTGGTAACGGCCTTGTTTTCTCATACCTCGTCAACATTATGGGGATTGCGTCTCTGTTGACTTGGATTGCCATCTCTGTTACGCACCTGCGGTTCCGTGCTGCATATAAAGCTCAAGGATTCCGACTGGCCGATTTGCCATTTAGGACCAGAACATACCCATTCAATGATAGTAAGTTTTGCAGAAAAAATCAAGGTCGAGGTCGTTCATTAGTTGTCTAACTTATGTTTTCTGTCACCAGTTTTCGCAATTTTCATCAGTTTCTGGATCATTGCTTCGCTCGTCTACGCCGCTGTAACATCGCCATTTGTTGATCCATACACTTACTACGACTCTTCTCTGTATGGTATGAAAAAAAAAAAAAATCGTGTACCAGTTTTTTTTGGTATACGTGTCCTCACCTCAAGATCTCACCGAGCTTTTGTCAAAGTAAAGTCGGAATCCCTCTCTTCACCATCATGTACTTTGGCCACAAACTGTATACCCGTTCACCTGTAAGCAAGCATTTCCCTTCCTCTCCACCGCCTTTTGCTCATTGAGGTATCGCAAGCATTCGACTAAACCGCCTCATCACTCTTGTAGCTGATTCCTCTTACTGATATCGACTTGATTACTGACCGTTACGTCGACGAAGTATCAACCAAAACTGGTGTACCCCCAGCCAAGATAATCGAACCTATCCCATAGAAGCTGCGACTTTCAGAAACATTATAGAAAATGTAGAAATATAGAGCATATATAATTAAATATGTATTTGCTAGATAGAAGTAACGCTAAAGCGCTTCAAGTTTTATTTGAACTGGTGGCAGTTTGGAAAACATCGTTCCTTGACTGCACGTTTTCGTTCTCACCTGATCTATGTGTCTAATCGATGCAAGGTATACAGCGCATTGATTTCAAGGCCTTCCGCATGTACGTTGCCTAAAGGACGCTTCAAAGTTCGCTCCACCACCAGCAATAACTTGAATCATCACCAAACCTCAGGCTGTTTCGCGATCGGCGTTGATACAGAGCTGTATCACGTAAAAAAGAGCATTTCGCACACATTGCAATATAATGCGGCGGTCCCTAACTGACATTTCGTTGAATGGTTTCATCTCCACTTGGACGCAGTTTTTTTATCGATTCTAAGCAACGGCTGAAACAGGTCCAAGTATAACCAAATAGCATTCAAGATCGATACAATTCTCAGCATGTAGCACGTTTGTCCATAAGATCTAAATATTAACTCGACTTTGTTAGCTCATCCCAAGATTAATGTATTCATCGGTCCTATCGGCTGGAATGTTTAAGCCCCACCTCGCCCAAGCCTCGTTTTCCCGTTTTTATCCCTACACACAAACCTGTTTTGATAAAGCTAACTCCTCAAAGTTTCGAGAACTCTAAACCAAAACGGAAAGTGTCGTCAAGGTTGATCAATTTTACGTATCGTAAAGTTGAATCGTAAGTGCCGTACCTCGGTATCAGTCGTAGTAATTGTGTACCATCCTTGTCGTGACACCGTACCTGACTTTCGATTTTTCAAAACCCGTTAGTCAAATTTAAGCTATGGCAGACGAGAAGAAGGAGGACGTTGTGATAGCAGAGCCTGTTACCCATCATGTCCAAAGGAAACTCCAAGCTAGACACTTGCAGGTAAGGCGTTGTTTGGCTGTTTTGACTGTGACATCGAATTCTCGACAGGCGTTTGGTTTTTGGGGTTTTGAATGCAGTTCTTCCAGCGATCGGTGTAGCAATGAAGGCTAATATGATACTCAACTATTAGATGATTGCATTGGGCGGTACCATTGGTACGTATTCGCTATCTCTTGCGTGGGGTTATCTGCTGGCTGTTGGTGGCACTTGTTGTAAACGATATGCGAGATTTACGGTGTAAAGTGCCTGGAACAACTTGAACGAGCGTTCCAATGCATATACGACTAGTAGATCCACGGAATATGGTGGCGTAGAGATTCGATCTATAGTCTCGAATCTTGCCTTATGAACTCCGACCCACCTGCTTTTTTTCAACAAACACCTGACAATCCTGTGACTTTGGGGTTTTCACATGCATTGGTGCCATGGACTATGAAGAATAGGAATCAGATAGTGTGTATTTACCATGCATTTCACGTCAATTAGGTACTGGTCTCTTTGTTGCATCTGGAAGTACCATAGTATCAGCTGGTCCAATGGGTGGTTTATTATCCTACATCATCGTCGGTTTATTGGTATATGGAGTCGTTACTGCCTTGGGTGAAATGGCAACCCTCTATCCTATATCTGGTTCTTTCAACGTTTACGCATCTCGCTTTGTCGACAAGTCTCTTGGGTTCACCATGGGTTGGAACTAGTACGTAAAACTTGCAGTGTCTCGCGTGCTACTGCTACGATAATTGAAAATGAATGCTTACGTTGCTCTTTATTTTAGCTGGGCATCATGGGCTATTACCATTCCAGCAGAACTATCAGCTGGTGGTATCATTATCCAATATTGGCTACCAAACGTGCAACCGTGGGTGTGGGCTCTAGTGATTATCGTCGTATTAACATCTATCAATATGATTGGTGTCCGAGGTTTCGGTGGTACGTGTCTCAAAACACCGCTTCCTTCCTACATAACGCATATTCTAAATCCTCGCGATTAGAACTGGAATACTGGTTCTCCCTCATCAAAGTCATTGCCATCATCGTATTCATCATCATCGGCATAGCAGCTGTCTGTGGTGCCTTCTCCTCTATCGGCCGTGTAGGATTCACATACTGGACACCAACCGACGACCACCCAGAATGGACTGCCTTTTCAAATGGAATCACTGGTATCGCATATGCCTTCCCTACTGCGTTCTACAGTTTTGGTGGAACCGAATTGGTTGGTATCACTGCTGGTGAAGCTGCCAACCCAAGAAAGACAGTTCCAAGAGGTTTGTGTGCCCGAAGTATCTATCTTCACATATCCCGAAATTAAATCTTTTTCCGGGTTGAATAGCCATCCGTGGTACTTTCTGGCGTATCATCCTCTTCTATGTAATGG